CAGTTGGGTTCAGGCCACGTCCCACCTCTGTGGGACGTCAACACCCAGGGCCACAGGTCATCCCCAAGTGCCCAGCAGGAGTGTAGCTTGTCTTCATGCTGAACTTCAGTGAGAGACGTGGCAAAGACTAAAAAGACATCCCTTTCTTACTCCACAGACATTTCCCAGGCGTCCTTGCTGGTCTAGGTGCTTGGCCTTGGGGAACTTGCAGGCCAGCCTATTCTGTGACTCTTCATTAGACCGCTGACTCCCTCCACAACTCTGTTACTATCTGAGACTGGAATTCTGCAGGCTCCCTTCCATCTGCTTCCTTCGAGGGCTTCTCCACAAGACTACCCTTGTTTTGTTTCTCAGAGTGCCCCAGATTCACAAATCCTGCCCCTTTGTGAGCTCTTAGCTATCCATCCAGCCCACAGCTCCAGATGCAGTTTCTCGTTTTTGCTCATTTTCATTCTAGCCCATTGAACTACTGTAGGATTGGATATATAAGTGCCACAAACAAGCTGTCCCTCAGACTCTGACAGCAGGACTTTTCAGTGTGAAGTATCACTGCACATACTGTTCCCCTGCTCAGACTGCAGTCCCGACCATCCAGTCCACCAAGGAAACAACCACAAGATTCCAGGCTCACCTTTTCCTTCCCTTGCCTGGTCCCTTCCCTTCCATTGCCTGTCCTCCAACACACATATCAGCAGGCAATACACTAAGTATTTTCTCCTTCATTCTGCTCATGTGTCTTACAGCTGCCCCACAGCTAGAAAAAAAGCACTCCTTCTTCAAGACACTTGACTGCCGCCTGCTGGAAATTTGTCATGATGACACCGAAGTGCACAGATAACCTTCTGGAGTTCTGCTCACACAGCTGTCAGCCTGGGCCTGCCTGTTGCCTTGGCCGTGCCGTCACATATTTGTTTGCACACTCACTTCTCCAGTTACATCGAGGATGTCCTGAATGTGGAGATTGTGGTCCCTCCCTGTGTCCCCACTGCCCTGGCTTCTGCTGGGTGACATAAAAATGTTTATTGAACGATCCTTGTGCAAACGCCTATTATCATAGGTTCAGGACATCTGCCTTTACTTGGTGAAGTTTCTCTGAATCCATGTATTGAAAAATCACTACAGACTATTGGAATATCCATGGAGGGTCATGGGGGACTTGCAGAGGGGACAGGGCCTCATCCATCTGCTGTCTCTGCTCATAGGCCACTACCATCTGAACAGACCAGAGCAACTCATCATTCAGTCCCTCAGAAAGTGTTGAGGTAGGCACTGTGCAGGGGAGAATGGGGCCAGGGGCCACCTGTTGGCTCTCTGGGCAGGGGAAGGAAAGCAGCACTTCTAGAGCTGTACCATGCCCAGGGCCAGCTCCCCCTAGGTTGTGGACACACAGAGATTATGGGTAATGTAGAGGCCCCTCCTGGGGAATTCAGGATTTTATAAGCACATAGCTACTAGATAGGGCAGTCAAGATTGTGAGTACTGTCCATATTTTCCTATGTAGTACCCTGTTACTAAGCCACATCATCAGAAAATGCTACCCTAGTGACATCCTGTGTCTTCACAAAGTGTCTTAGCAGAACTCGTATCTGGATGTCACACTGGGAGTAACACTGGAGAAAAAGAGGCAAGTTGGTCTTTCACTGGGGTCCCATTTCAAAAAAGATTGGAGCCCTCTGTTCAACTGCTTCCCCAGAGCCATTTAGTACAGTGTTAGGCCCTGTAGAGAGAAGCTCTGGACAATGCCTCTCCTTGCTCAGGTCTGTCCTGATGAACTGACTCAAACTTCCTGGTCTCACACAGTCAGGGCTATTTCCTTCTGTGCCCTGGCAGCCAGCTAGCTCAGAGAGAATGTGTTGCTGAGTTCCTACAGCTTTCCCCAACCAGCACTTCTTATAATTTCCCTCATTCTTTCCACAGGAATGGAATGCTTGTTTGGGGGTGTTTGTATTGCTTTTGTCTTTGTATTTTACTCTTGGGGATGGTTTTTAGAGGCAGGATGGGCAGCAGTGTGGTACCTGAAAGCATCAGCACAGAAACCAGGCACACCTGGATTTCAGTCCCCACTTGCTGGCTGGGACATTTTAAGCAAGGTAACAGCCTCTTCAAGCCTTAGTTCCTCATCTAGAGAATCAGAGCAATGATCACCATGAGCAGGTAGGTTGTTGTGAAGGTTAAATTAAACTTGTCTAGCATAAAGCCATTATTCTCTTCCTCTCCCAGACCAGGCCCCATCTGTGGCTCCAGGACCCTAGTCTTTATTTCCTTCTTCCTATCTGTGACTGCTACCTTATGGTGAGTGATGCAGCAATAATAACTAGGTGGCTGGCTGTTTTCAGGTTTTTGGGGACAGGTTTCCTGGGATGCAGGACTTTCATTGTTCAAATGGGAAGGTCTGAGGCAAACAGATGAGCTGGTCACTGTCTTAGTCCATTTATGCTGCTGTAACAATACCACAGATGGGGTAATTTACAAAGAAAAGAAATTGTTTCTCATGGTTTTGAAAGCTGCAAAGTCCACTATCAAGGTGCTGGTATCTGGTATCTGATGAGAGCCTTTGTGCTACATTATCCCATGGTAGAATGCAGAAAGGCAAGAGAGCATGAGAGGAGGTGAATGCACTTTTAAAGCAAGCTCAATCTCACAATAAGTAACCTGCCCCTGTGATAATGACATTAATCCACTCATGAAGACAGAGATCTCCTGACCTCATCATCTCTCATTAGTCCCTGCTTCTGCTCACTGTTGCATTGGGAGTTAAGTTTATAACACATGAACTTCAGGGGACATATTCAAGCCTTAACAGTCACCCTTACAATAAGCAACCACAGCATCTTGGTGGCCAACAGTAATGAAGGTTTATTTTTTCCTCACATTGCTGTCCATCCAGGTTTATGATTAGAGGAGGACCCTCTGCCCAGGAAACTTCTGGTGACAGGTTCGGGGAAGTGGCTGGACCCATCCCTCAGAGAGCTATATGGGGCTCTGGTGTGTGAGGGGTGGGGGATGGGGTGGGGGATGGGGAGGGCCTAGAGTAGATTCTGGGCTGCTGATTTGGAAGCTGAGAAGACAGCATGAGATCTGGACAGGGAATCAGTTTTGGATAGAAGATTTAGATAGATATGTTAAGCCTAGAGATTTGTGTTCATTTGCCACACTTCTTTACCAACTGAGCCCAGGAGCTAGACATCCCAAATTCCTGATCATGTTGTTTGCACGTGCCTAGATTGGAACTAACAGACCATGAAGGATTCTGAGCCAGACTGCACAGAGGAGTAAGTGGGGAGGGCAAAAGCAGTGCTATTCCTAGATACCTATTTGAACACTTTATAAGGATCAAGACAAAGATAAGGGCTGAGAGAGTGGCTCAAGTGGTAGACCACCTGCCTAGCAAGCACAAAGCCTTGAGCTCAAACCCCAGTACCATCAAAAAAAAAAAAAAAAAGAAGACAAAGATAATATCCAAAGACTGCAAGAATCAGTGATAGAATGTGATATGCCAGAATTTTTGCTTCAGCAGGTCAGCCAAAGCCCATTAAAGTTTAACTCTCAATTTCTCCACTCAGAGTAGGTTTGGGTGAGGACACAGCGGCCCTTTTCTTCCTTCCAGATCACTTCTTCCCTGACACAGGCATTGGCCACATCAGTCAGAGGGCAGAGCAGAATCCCTGAGTCCTGGCAGGATGAGGTGGCAGGGCTGCACTGCCAGTTGTCTGACTTGAGCACCTTGCAGAATTTATGTCCTTCTGAGCTTCTCACATGACCATACATCCTTGAGGCTTATAGACATTTTCTTTAAACATCACTTTCAGGTGCTCAACCTGCTGGCATTTGTTTTGGCTTAATCTCTTCAGTCATTTTCTGTTGTTCCTGGTCCTCTGGGTTCAAATGACTGATGGCCTTTGCTTGAGTGAGAACTGAGCAGTACCTTTAGCAGCCAGTATAGCTTCTGGTGGCTCACTATTCTCCAGCTGTGTGACTTTGGCTATTTTCTTCACCTCTCTGTGTGTCAAAATGGATAAGACAAAAGTATCTACTTACTAGAGTGATTTTCAGGTTTAAATGAGCTTACCTACAGAAGACAAAAAAGATGGTGCCCGACACAGAATAACATTCAAGTGCTCACTGTTATTATTTAGCCCAATAGGGGAAAAAATAGAGCACAATTATGCCTTTCTTCTTCATTCTTTGTGTGTGTGTGTGTGTGTGTGTGTGTGTGTGTGTGTGTGTGTGTGTGTGTTACTGGGGATTGAACCCATGGCCTCATACATACCTCCATTCCTTATTTTTTTAAATTTTGAGATAGGGTCTCACTAAGTTGTCCAGACTGGCCTTAAACTTGTGATCCTTCTACCCCAGCCTGCTACCTTTTTTCTCTCAAGGATATGTCCAAGAATCCATTTTTTATATTTAGAAGGAATTTTTTGTTTGTTTGTTTTGTTTTGTTTTTGTTTTTGGCAGTACTGGGGTTTGAACTCTGGGCCTCCTACCTGCTATGCAGCTACTCTACCACTTGAGTCACATTCCCAGCCTTCTTTTGCTTAAGCCAAGTTTTTAGATTGGGTCTCGGGTTTTGCCTGGGGCCAGCCTGAGACCATGATCCTCCTATGTCTCCCATGTAGGTGGTATTATAAGCATGTGCCTCTATACCTGGCTTATTGGTTGATATGAGATCTTGATAACTTTTTGTACAAACCATGATCTTTCCAATCTCCCAAGTAGCTGGGATTTATAGGAGCACCCCACCACAAGCAGCTAGAAAATGCCAGATTTGCTCATGTGTTTGCAGGTATCACAGGGAACTGAAGGATGGCCAGAAGCTAGGGCTGATGATTACAGCCAGAAGGTGGCAATGGATGGGGCTGGAAGCCTCTCCAGCAAGTCTTCTTGAAACTTGAAGTCAGGAACTAGCTTTCCCAACTCCTTTAGCTCAGAAGAGATTTTCAGATTCAGTACCCCAAAGTGACCTGTCTGGGTTTTCTTTTCCTGTGGTCCCACTATAGGTTTTTGGAAGAAGTTGACTGCCTGGAAGGAAATTACAAAACATGAAAATCTCTTTGAGGTGACCAGAAAATCCAGCAGCCCCTTGCTCCTCCCAGCTGTAACTTCAGGTAATAATTAAGGACCCTGTCCTTCAGCTCCTGGCAGCTAATGATTATTGGTAGCCTACAGTTCTTTAGCTGTTCAAAAATAGGGGAGGATAACGTCAGTGGCACCTCATGTTTGGCATATGGCCAAAGGGTCCTGGGCTCTGTCAGCCACCAAGACCTGGAGGGTAGGGCTCTCTCCTCCCTGTTCTCAGGCCTGGCCCTGCTTTTCTGAAAGTTAGTGAGAATTATAGCAATGGCAGTTGCCCAACAGGGTCATTAATATGAAGTAATTATAAAATGTATCCTGAAGGGCAGATCAGAGAGAATAACCCGGAAATTTATGAAAATGAAGACTAATAAGAGAAAAAGAATTTGTTTTGCTAGATATTAAAATGAATTCTAAAGCAATACTCCCCAAAATGGTATAGAACTATGGGCTAGAGGTGTGGCTCAAGTGGTAGAGTGCCTACTTTGCAAGCTTGAAGTACTGAGTTCAAACCCCAGTACTGCCAAAAAACAAAACAGTGTATAACTAGAATGGAAAGAACTGTATCAAAGGAACAGAATAGAAAGACTAGACACAGCTGATAAGCCAATAGAGATATAATTTCAAATTTTGGTAACAGAGTGCATGGTCTGATAAATGGTGTCAGGACAATAGTGTATCCATTGGAGGAAAAGAAAAAAATTTCTAACTTTAGGTAGTATATCAAAACAATTTCCAAATGAATTAAAGTCATAGATAAAAATAAAGTTTTAAAATATTGACATTATATTTGGGTGGGAAAATGCTTTGTAAAACATCTCTGTGTTAATACTACTTTCAAATGCCATAAACAGAGTTAAAAGGGGGGAAAAAGTATTTATTATAATACCTATGATGAAAAAAGAATTAATATTCCTACTATGCAAATTTATTCACTCATTCATATGAATGTTGGAACACGATGTACTAAGAAGCGTTCTGGACACTAAGGGTACAAGCAGTAAACGAAGCAGAATCCCTGCTCTCCTAGTGTTTACTGCCTAACGAAGAAAATAAAGAAGGAAATTATTGTAGGTAAAATTTGGGTAAGGGTTATAGGGAAAGACTTAAGTAGGTTCCTTGATTGGGGGAGTTGTCAGGGTTCACATGATATGGCCATTCAAGGAAACTTCATTGGGGAAGTGAGCAGAAATAGGATGGAAAAGTGACGAAGTGGCTGAGTTCTGTGTTTAATGTCATGTCAACAGGAATAGCTGATGGATTGGATTTGAGTTCTGAAAGAAAGAAGTCAGGCAGCTTCTCTGGTTGGGGCCTTGTAACCAAAAGAATGGAAGGCCTAGGACTAAGAGGCTCAGGTTAGAGAGAACCAGGGTTTGGGTTTCAGTTTGAGGTCTCTGTTGCATATTCAAATGGAGATGTTAGGGAAATGGGTGGTTATAGAAACCTGGAATTTGGGGAAACATCCAGGCTGGAGCTAGGACTGGGGAGTTGTCAGTTTGGATTGTATTTGAAATAATGAAGCTAGGTTGAGTTCCTAGAAAGAGAGAAGAAAAGAGTTCTCAGAACACCTAAGGGTTCTCATTTAGAGGTGAGGGAGATGAGGATGGCATCTTGCAAGCCAAGAGACAGTGTTGAGGGAGAGATCAGTTCTGTCAATGCTGCTGGTGGGCTGAGGTGCCAGGACATGGGGAGCTGGCCATGGGATCTAGGACGGGGGAATTGCCGGTGAACCCAAACAGGTCTGTCATATTGTAACCATGGGGGAAAAAGCCTGATTTTCTCATAAGAGAAAAAGAAATAGAGACTTAGAAAATGGGATAATAGGTAGAAGAAGATAGTGTTCCAAAAAGTTCATTTTCCCAAGATGAAAGTTATATGAATTATATTTTTAGCCAAATGGGAGTGATCCAGTAGTGTGAGGAAAGTGGATTACACAGATTAGACTAGGGCTCCGAAATGATGGACATGAGTTGATGAGAGAATTGAGGCATGGAGAGCCTCAAACAGAACTGCATAGGTGGGCTGGTGGATGTGGTTGCTGGCCTCCTTTTTTAGTCATACCAGAAGTAAAGTTATCAGGGCGGGGGTGTAGCTTAGTGGTAGGTACAGGGTACAGCTTTTGCCTGTACTGTACAGGGCCCTGGGTTTGATCCCCAGCACTGCAAAAAATAAAACAAAAAAAAAAAAGAGGGGTCAGGGGAGGTGGAGATGGTATTGGCTAAGAATGTGAGGACCAGGGAGACATTGAAAGTGAGAATAATTGGCCAGGGCAGTGAAGGATCGATGGCAGCACTGCCAGCCTCTGAGATGTCTGTTTTCTCTTGCCATATCCAAGGGCACAATTGAACATGGGGTAGGAGGCCCTATGGTAGAGAAGTGGGAAGTGTGTAAACATAAGTTTCACATGGAAATGCCTGTGCTTGCTAAGTGAAGCCCAGGTACATCCCAGTCCTTAAGGAGTGCCTACCAATATAAAGCACCATCAGTAGTAATTTAAAAGTGCAGACAAGCACAGTGAGGACCCCCTTTCAGATCAGCAAATGCTCTTTAGGGACAGAAATTCTGAGAGCTGCACAGGAGCAGTGTTTCAGTATGCTCCAAAACAGAGAACGCGGGTCGCCTTTTGGCCCATCAGTCCTACTTTTCTAAACTTATTATAAGAGAGTGTAAGTTATATGCATGGAGACCTGTGTGCCGAGGTAATGTCCTCTCCAGTAGCTCATAAATGTGAGAGTTGGTACATTCCTCACCAGGAGGGACTGGTTCCCCAACTGTGTGCATGGTGGTGATAGGAAAAGCAAAACTCACACTCATCCTCTTGTTTCACAGATGAGAGAACGTGGGCCCAGAGGGAGGGATTGACAGCTCCAGTCATAGCCTGTGGAGCTCAGAGCCCTTGGTGGCCCACAGGGCACAGCCTCTTCAACTGGGTTTGGAGTTGGAGTCCCTTGTAAGGTATTTACCACCCTCTTTTTTGGGCCAACTTTCTTTGTGCTTATAAAATATGAATTCTCAAAATGTTTCACAGATTCGCTTATAATGTTTTCATTTCATTATGCAAGGGGAGGATGCCTACAAAAGGCTAATGGGGGAGATGGGACAGACTTTGCCTGGGCTGGGGATAGAGGGGGACCATATTTTCCTGACTCCCAAGTAGGACTTACACTTATATGTTTTTGCTTTCCTAGAATTTTTTTTTTACAGAAGTTGTAAGAAAAGCACAAAGACAACAACAAGCAAATCATCTTCATTTACTTCACTATCATATACTTGTAGGTTAGAAGGAAATAAAATGAGGAGGCCCAAGAACATATGGATCACTGGGTTGCCTTTTAGAGCCTAGTTCTGGTTTATTGCTTCCTCACCCCATATGGGACCTAGAAGCCACTCAGCTTCCCTGGGCTTTTGTGTCTTCACCAGAAAAGTTATCTATAAAACCTTTTGAAAAATTAGTGTATATTAACTGTAACAAAAGAATTTCATTGTGGTATTTCCATACATGCATATAATATACTGTGATCAAGTTCACCCTCTCTACTATTCTTTCTTATCTTCGCTGGCCTCCTTTTTGAACAATTTTAGCAGGTTTCATAATTCTATTTTCATACATGTGTATGAAGTATTGTGATCATATTGGTTCCCCCCCCTTACCCTCTCCTTTCACCCTTCCGCTTTCCACTGGTTCCTACTCCCAAATAGTCCCACCATTTTACATGCCTGTTATTCCTTACACATACATTTATATGTTTAGATAAGAGGCAGAACATGCATTATTTGTCTTTATCAGCCTGGCTTGTTTTGCTTAACATGATCATTTCTAGTCCCATCCATTTTTCTGCAGATGACATAATTTGATTCTTCTTTATGGCTGGATAATACTCCATTATGTGTGTACACACACACACACCCCACATTTTCTTTATCCATTCATTAGGTGAAGGATATCTAGGCTGATTCATAGCTTGGCTATTGTGAGTGGTACTGCCATAAACATGGGTGTGCAGGTATCTTGACTGTTTGCTGACTTATATTCGTTCAGATATATGCCCAGGAGTGATATAGCAGGATCATATGGTACTTCTATTTTTAGTTTTTTGAGGAACCTCCATACTGATTTCCATACTAGCTTCACTAATTTACATTCCCACCAATAGTGTATAAGGGTTTCTTTTCCCTTGCATCCTTGCCAGCATTTGTTGTTTGTTTTCTTTATGGTTGCCATTCTGACTGGAGTGAAATGGAATCTCAGTATAGTTTTGATTTGCATTTCCTTTATGGCTAGGATGTTAAACTTTTCTACATGAATATTTCATGTATTTATTGGCCATTTGTACTTCCTCTTTTGAGAACTATCATTCAATCTATTGCCCATTTATTAATTTTAATAAATTGTTTAATTTTTTTGAAACTCCATATATATTCTGAATATTAATTCATTATCTGATAAATAACTGGCAAAGATTTTCTTCCATTGTGTAGGTTATTTCTTGAGCCTGGTAATTGTTTACTTTGCTGTGCAGAAGTTTTGTAATTTGATACAATCCCATTTGTCCATTCTTACTCTTATTTCCTGAGCAGTTGAAGTCCTGTTCAGAAAGGCACTCCCTGATCCTTTATCTTCCAGTGTTTTCCCTATGTATTCTGTAGTAGTTTCAAAGTTTCAGGTCTTACATTTAGATTTCTGATTAGTTTTGGATTAATTTTTCACTAGGTGAGAGATAAGGGTCTAGTGTCAGTTTTCTGCGTATCCAGTTTTCCCAACACCATTTGTTGAAAAGGCTGTCTTTTCTTCAACATATGTTTTTTACTCCATTGTGAGTAAAACACATTTGTGGCTGTTGCTGTGTGGGATTAATTCTGGATCTTCCATTGGTCTAGTTGTCCGTTTTTGTGTTAGTACCATGTTTTTGTTTTTGTTTTTACTATGACTCTGTAGTATAATTTGAAGTCAGGTATTATGATACCTCCAGCATTGCTCCTTTGGTTCAGGACTGCTTTGGATATTCCAGGTCTTTTGTGCTTCCATATGTATTTTAGGATTGATGTTTTCTGTTTCTGTGAAAAATGACCTTGGAATTTTTATGGGGATTGCATTGAATCTGTTGATTACTTTCAGTAGTGTAGCCATATTCACAATATTAATTCTGCCACTTCTTGAATATGGGAGGCCTTTCCATCTTCTAGTGTCTTCAGTTTCTTTCTTTAAGATTTTATAGCTCTCATTGTAGAGGTCTTTCACCTCCTTTGTTGGGTTTATTCCTAGGTATTTAGTTTTGAAGCTATTGTGAATGTTCTTATTTTCCTGATTTCTTTCTCAGCCTGTTCATTATTGATACATAGAAAAGCTACTGAATTTTGTATCCTACTAACTTTGCTAAAAATATTTATAAGATCTAAGAGTTTTGGTGAAGTCTTTAGGGTTTCTTCACTGTAGAATCATATCATCTACAATTAGGAATAATTTGACTTCTTCTTTTCCTATTTGAATCCCTTTTATTTCTTTCTGTTGCATTATTGCTGTGGCTAAGAATCCAAGTACTACATTGAATAAGAATGGAGAGAATGAATATCTTTGTCACTCTCCTGACTTTAGAAGAAATGGTTTCAGTTTTTCCCCATTGAGTACAATGTTGACTATGAGTTTATCATATATAGCCTTTATTATGTTGAGGTATGTTCCTTCTATTCTTAGTTTTGTCAATGCTTTTATCATAAAAGGATGTTAAATTTTGTCAAAGGCTTTTTCTGTATCTATTGAGATGATCATGTGATTTTTTTTGTTCTTTATTTTGTTTATGTGCAGTATTACACTTGTTGATTTGTGTATGTTGAATCATCCTTGCATCCCTGGAATAAAACCAACTTAACCAGTTCATATGATCTTTTTAATGTGTTGTTGAATTCTGTTGCAAGTATTTTATTGAGAATTTTTGCATCTATGTTCACCAAAGAAATTAGTCTGTAATTTTCTTTTTTTGTCATGTCGTTACCTTGTTTGGGTAATATTGGCTTCATAGGGTGAGCTTGGCAGCATCCCTCTCTTTATATTTTATGGACTAGCTTGAGGAGCATTTGTGTTAGATCTTTAAAGATCTGGTAGAACTCAGCAGTGAATCCATCTAGTCCTGAGGTTTTTTTAGGGGGGAGATTCTTTATTACTGTTTCAATTTCATTGCTTATTATAGATTTATTTAGATGATTTGTATCCTCTTGGTGCAATTTTGGTAGATCATATGCATCTAAAAATGAATCCATTTCTTCTACATTTTCCAGTTTGTTAGAATCTAAGTTTTCCAAGTGTTTCCTAATGATCCTCCGTATTTCATTGGTATTTATTGTGATGTCACCTCTCTCATCTCTAACTTTATTAATCTGGGTCTCCTTTGTTTGGTTACCAAAGACTTTATCAATCTTGTTTATCCTGTCAAGGAACCAACTTTTTGTTTCATTGATTCTTTGTTTTCTTTTAGTCTCCACTTCATTCATTTCTGCTGTTTATTATTTTTCTGTTTATTGCTTTTGGGTTTGGCTTGTTCTTATTTCTCTATGACCTTGACATACATTATTAGTTTCTTTATTCAGGGTATGTCTTGTTTGTTTAATGAAGGCATTTGTAGCTATAAACTTCCTTCTCAGCAATGCATTTGCTGTGTCCCAAAGGTTTTGGTAAGTTGTGTTTTCCTTTTAAATTTATTCTACCAATTTAAAAAATTTCCTCCCTTATTTTTTCAATGACCCATTGATCATTCATTAGTGTATTTTTCAGTCTTCATGTGTTTGGGTACTTTCTGTAGCTTCTCTTGTATTGGATCTCTAGTTTTATTGAATTGTGGTCTGATAAAATACAGGAAATTATTTCTGTTTTCTAGTATACTCTATTTTTGAGAAAGTTCCATGGGCTACTGAGAAGAGTGTGTATTCTATAGTTGTTGGGTGGAGTGTTCTATTGATCCATTTGATCAATAGTGTCATTTAATTCTGATGTTTCTATGTTGATTTTTTTTGGTCTGGATGACTAATTTATTAGTGTAAGTGGGGGATTAAAGTCACTCACTATTATTGTATTGAGGTCTAACTTTATTTTTCTGTCCATTGTGTTTGCTTTATGAAATTGGGTACACTGACATTCAGTGCATATGTGTTTATAATTATTAAATCCTCCTTATGGATTGCTCCCTTTATGAATATAAAGTAACCTTCTATGTCTCCTCTGATTAATTTTTGTTTGATGTCTGCTTTGTCAGATTTGAGTCCAGCTCAAATCTGCTTGCATTTGGGCTCCAACTGCTTGGAAGATCTTTTTGCATTTCTCTCTAAGCCTGTTTTTGTCTTTGCCTGTGAGGTGTGTTTCTTGTAGTTAACAAATGTTGGTTTGTTTCTGATCCAGTCCACTGGTCTGTGTCATTAGATTGGAGAACTGAGACCATTAACATTCAGAAGTACTATTGAAAGGTATGTGGTAATTCCTGCCAGTTAAAAAGTGTTATAGTGTTTCATGCTTTCTTACTCTTCATTTGCTTATCTGCATATCTACTGAGATGTATTCTTTCCTGTATTTTCATGGTTGTGATTATCTTCCTCTTCTGTGTGTAGGATTCCTTTAACTATCTTGTGCAGTGCTGGTTTAGTGGTCATGAATGCTTTAGTTTTTGTTTATCATGGAAGGTTTTTATTTCTCCTTAATTAAGAAGGATAGCTTTGCTGGGTACAGTAATCTAGGCTGGAAGTTATTTCCTTTCAGGGTTTGAAATACATCATTCCATACCCTCCTTGCTTTTAAAGCTTCTGTTGAGAAACCTGATGGTTTTTGGATAGGTTTATCTTTCAGTTTTCTTTCTTGTTCTGTATACCTAATGTTTTTTAACTATAATATATTCTAGGAAGGTTCTTTTCTGGTTCTGTCTTTTGGAGTTCTAAAAGCCTCCTATACCTGGATGTCCATCTCTTTCTCAAGATTTGGGAAGGTTTCTGCTATTGTTTAATATGTTTTTGATGTCTCTAGCTTCTACCTCTTCTTCTTCTATGCCAATGATTTGTAGGCTTTGTCTTTTAGTAGTATTGCAGAGGTCTTGTATGGTCTGTTTATACTTCTTTAGTTTTATTTTTCTTTATCTTCATCTGAATGTTCTCATATATCTACCTTGTCTTCAAGTCCTGATATTGTGTCTTCAATTTGACCCAATCACTGGAGAGACTTTCAGCTGTGTCAAAAGTTTGACTTACTGAGTTTTTCCAGAATTTCAATTTGATTTTTTTCTAGATTTTTTTCTGTATGTGTATTGAATTCCTTTTTCATGTCCTGCATTATCTTCTTTATTTCATTCAGCTATTTGAGTTTTCTTGTAATTTGTTCAGGCATTTATTTGTATTCTCTTTAATTTCATTGATTATTCTTATAATCATTTAAAAAATCTTTGAGTTTTTATGCACTTCACTATTGTTACTGTGGTTTAAGGTGGAGGAGTCATGTTGCCTTGGTTTTTCATAGTTTTTGTGTTTCTGTGTTGGGATTTGCACATCTGAGGCCAAATCATTGGTTGGAAGTTTTAATCACCTGTAGGCTTCCTGTTGAAATATTCTCAGTGTTGAGGCAGGAGAGCATAGTGGTTAGGTTGGGGTTATTTCTCAGCACTGGACTGGGTTATGGCTTAGTAGCCAAGCATTTTCTCATGTGCTCAGGACACCAGCACTGCTCAGATTGAGGAAAACAAGCTAGAGTCTCTTATAGAAGGATTGGTCGTTCACTTCTGGTCTGCTTTCACTATAGAAGCTTCCTTTCTTTGTGTACTGGGAGCCCCTGCTGGCTACAGGGAGCTTTACAGCCTGGAGGCTGAGCAGGTTCCCACTTGCTTCAAAGCCACCGAATTTACAGCAAGCTTCCAAGATTAGAATGGCCCCCAAATTCATCAGGTAGGTGGGGGAGCAAACAGAGCACTGAGTTTTGCACTGGCTGGGGAAAGCTGAGGAACCTAGGCACTCTGATTCCTGGTCTTAGTGCTTACAGATGCCACCCAGTATCTCATTCCCTGTAAGGAAGAGGAGGCTATGAAAGTCTTGTGATACAGAGTGTCTGGACTCAGGGCCCTCTCCTGACAGCAAACACACACTAGATTGCAGTTCCTGGAGGTGGTTCTCTGTGTTTTCAGGCACCACCCAGCAGTTCACCTTCCTGTGGGGAGGAAGAGGCTGTGAAGTCATACAACACAGAGGATATGGACTTAGGGCCTTTAGATCTACTTGGCAACAAACACATGCCAGAATGTAGTTCTCAGAGGTTGGCCTCAGTGCTTTTACAACCTGCCCAGCAGTTTACTTCCTTGTTGGGTACAGGAGGCTGTGGAAGTCATGTGATTCAGAGGGCTTGAGCTTGGGGTTCTCAGTGCTACCTGATGACAAACACATGCTGGGATACAGTTCCCTGAGGTGGGGCTTTGTGATTTCAGACCCTGCAACAAACATGCAATGATGGGATGTAGCTCCCAGAGGCAGCTCTCAGGCACACCTTCCTATGGAGAGGAGGAGGCTGTTTGCTTCCCTGTGTGTGAGGGAGGGAAGGAGGCTGTAGAAATTTTGTGATTCTGAAGGCCTGGGCTCTAAGCTCTCAGATACATGCCAGGATGCAGTTCCAGAGGTGGACCATAGTGCTTTTAGGTGCTCTCCAATACGTTACCTCCCTGGGGAGAGGAGGTTATGCATATCACCTGGTTTGGAGAGTCTGTCCTCAGGGCCCCCAGACCCACTTAGCAGCTAGCAGGAGTCAGCCCCTGGACGCCAAAAACTACACAGCCATAGGCTTTGTGCTTTGTTTCCACCTGACTCTCAGGAAAGGGAACTGGCACCTCACAAGGAAGGATGGGGCCTTTGACCACTGCACCCTTTGCTATGGGAGCTTCTCACTGCTTGAACTTCTCTATGAGAAGGCCTTCTCCCTTTCCATAACCACCTCTTGTGGCTGTAACATACCCAGACACTGTGGCAGGGTGTCTCAAGACCTCCTGAACCATGATTGTTTCTTGTTTTTAAGTCCCCAGAGTATCTTAGTCTTAACAATAGGCCCTCTCTCTAGATGGTGTCTTGCTATAGCTCTCAGTAATAAGGGGAGCAGCAGAACGTCTCTTCGCCAAGGCTATCCTTCTACACTGGAGCAGTCAGTTTCGCCAAATCCCCACACTGGGTTTAAGGCTTGTGGGAGGTGTAGGTTTATCCTGCAGCTAGGATTGCCAGACTGTGGCCAACGCCATCTGGCTTATCTTGTGATTACATCTTTTGTTCCCCATGCTTTCCCAGGGATCTGGGGATGAGGCTTGGAATTGTTTTCTTCTTTTCTTTGTTGCCTGTGTTTCTCCATGCTTTTCTGCTGTCCTGCCCACTGTGTTGTGATTCCTGATGTTCATCTTCTCTTTCTCTCTTCAGAATATAGTCTCTCCTTTATTACCTGACTCTTCTTATTCATGGAGTCAAAAAGGTGAATGCTTCTAATCTGCCATCTTGCCCCATCTCTCTCTAAAAACTTTTAGAATAAATATGATGCTCTTCCCATTCTGCCATGTGCCTTTTCTGGACTGGCTAAGCGAAAAGTGTTAGTATGGAAACCAGCCCCTGTGTTCCTAGGTGCCACTCAGGCCCTCCACTGCCTTAGAAGAGCACACTGAAATAAATGCCCCATTGTAACCTTTCCAGAGCTTCCAATGGCGGACCAGAGAATGGACATTTCCTCAACAATCAGTGACTTCATTTCCCCAGGCCCTACTGACCTGCTTTCCAGTTCCCTGGGCACCAGCAGTGTGGATTGCAACCGCAAGCGGAAAGGCAGCACCACCGACTACCAGTAAGGCCTTCTGGGTTCATCTGCTTCTCATTGAACTCAGTGTCAGTGGATGGGCATGGAGCACCTAGGACCAGCTATTGTTTCTCCCAGAAGGGCTGGAAAGCAGAGGTCCCATGTTAGGTGCTGCACAGTTGGTTTTGGCTTTATCTACCCCTGGACTGTGAACAAGAAGAGAGCCTATAGCACTGCTGAGGTGTTTACATCCCATCCTGTCCCTAGATGACTTCACATCTGGGAAAAAGAATAGCCTTAAAGCCAAGTTCTGACTTCTGCTCCTTTCCTCCTCTTCCCTTGCTCTTTGAGCAGGAGGAGTGAGTCTGTGGATGTAATCTCAGGGGTTGCAGCAAGAACTCACCTGAGGCCTCTGTGAGGAAGACAGCAAGGGTCAGGTGCTTATTAATGTGTGTGGAGTGGATGAGTGGTGGTGGTCTTGGCAAATAGTGTAGAAACCTTGACATTGTCCTTAAACATTATTTAAATTAGTATGTATCTGTTATTTTAAATAGTATTTCTGTTTCTTTTTAGACTTGATGACTTTTCTTTTGAGTAAGTAAATTTTCCCACTCACCCTCTGCTCTTCTTCATCTGTATAAACTCCTAGGGAGGATGCAGTGTAGAACATTCAAAGGCACATTTCATTTTGCCAAGGCAGTGGTGTGGGATCTTACCCAAATGTCCATTTAAGAGGCTTTCTTTGTTTAATGAGGGAAAATCTCCAAGGAGGTATCCCCCCTACAGCAGATGTCCTTTCTGCTGAAGTTCACAGGTCGAATTTGGGGAGCACAATGGCTGGAGGTCAGATGCCCACTAGGAGATGCTATGATTAATATGTAAGTTATCCCAGATCATTGAGAGAGCCAATGCCCAGGGGATGGAGAGTGGGTGAGAGGACCGAGGGGTTTCTTCCATAGCACAAACTCCCCAACAGAGACTAGAACATTTTTTTTCTCATGAACCCCTTGTCTTGGGCAAGTGTAATGGAGCCACTGATATATTCTAAGACTTCTGTTACCTAAACCTGTGGTTTCCAAACTTGTCATCATCCAATATCCTTCTGATTTCCCTCATGGACCCCAGTTATAGTAAACCTTCTATAATTGGTGGAGATTTGATTACTTAAGCAATCATAGTCCCTTCTCTGTCTTTTTCCTTTGCTAAGGACATGAGTTTCTCCTCACACAAAGGCATTAACTTGACCTCCATAGCAGAGACAATTCCAGATGAAAGTGGTGGGGGAGTGTCTACCCATATGGGCCATATGATTTCCTCTGAATTCTGGGACCAGCTGGAGAAACTGCTTATGAGGGCCCCAGGGTACCTAGGTGGGGACCACTGTTTTAGAATGCCTTCCATGTGATCCTACACTCTGGGAAACAGTGTATATTGTTTGAAGGGCCTCAGTACCTCCTTTCTTATGGGATAAAGGAGAAAGAAGGGAAGCCCAGGTAGCAGTCAGTGCTCTCCTGATGAATGTGTGAGTTGGAGAAAGGAGTGAGCTGATGCTGAGGAGAGTTCGGAACCCCTTCCTCTGGGGATTTCAGTCTATTTTTGTTGAACCAGTAGAGGCCATGAAACTTGGATATCTGGAATCTGAAAGGGAGGCAGCCTTCAACCCCATACTGTCCTCCATTTCCAATTCCTCAAGCCTAGGGGTTCCTACCTCACTGAGAAGCAGAGCATTTGGTGGCAGTGCCTTGGAAGCACTGCCTGGGGTTCTGCTCTGTACTTCTTTATTGGTGCTTTAATTAGCCCCTTCTCACTTCACTTACCACCCACCAAATAGATGTATGCACTTCTATTTTCGATGCTTGATATGTTGTGCAAATGCAATGACCTCCATTTATCCAGAATATCTAGAGAATGAGTTGTCATAGATGTTTGGTTAACTAAGAGTTTCCAATAAACAGTATGTATTTATTCTCAGATTGCAAACAATCAGAATATGCTTAACATGCAAACTCTATTGAGAGTGCTTAGAACTTTTGTTTGATAATGTAGAAACCCATTCCAGATTTTATAGGAAGTTTTTGTTTGTATTACTTTATACATCATTAATCTGTACTATGGTTTTATATAAGTTTTGTTTTCTAATTGTTTGGTTTTCTGGATAAATGAGAGCCTTCTGTATTTTGATAAGAAGCTGTGCTGTATGCCTTTATTAACATGCAATTATGTTCTCTTGTTTTTGCAGAGAAAGCATGGACACAGACAAAGATGACCCTCATGGAAGGTACCATGAACCTAGTAATTTGAATTTCAGTGACTTTTTAGCTATTTTCTTTGCACATTATGCATTCTATCACTGGGGGTGTGTTCTCCCCAGGTCTTGTTTGGGGATAAGCAAGTAGCCCATGAGCCTGTGGGCCCAAGACTGACTCTCTATCCCCAATTCCTAGTGTGGCTAACAAGCAAGAACCCTTGTATGCCTGTGAAGAAGTGATAGGGACTTGGCAGGAAGAAGACAGAAATGTATAATTCTGCCATTCATCTCCAGAGGATTGCATTTTGATCTTTTACTTTTTCCCCTCAGGTTAGAATACACAGAACACCAAGGAAGGATAAAAAATGCAAGGTAAGCTCAGCCCCTCTTTTTGTATGTAAACTGCCCTGGTCCCATTTCCTTAGAGGGCAGCTGAGGAGACTCTGGTCTTTTCAGGCACCATTACAGCCTGAGGAAGTAAGGGAGGAGGTAGTGGACCTTGGCTTGATGTAGGCTTCTGCCCTTCACTGCCCCCTGAGCTGGCCTCTACTCCATTGCCATCTGAGCACGTTCAACCTGAAGGGGACTTTGGAAGTAGCAGAAAATCAGTCATGGCTATAGTTTTTCCCAAGTCTTCAGCAAAGGAGACATAGCTCCATAATTGCAGTCCTGGGCTGCGCCTTGCCTGACAGGGGGCCATTATTGTACTTCTAGTGGCACCTGAAGGCCATACCTGAGCATACCAGCTCCTTTAACAGACTCTTTAACTCGGTCCTTCCTGCCTCATCCACACTTGCTGATGCTCTATAGCTACATGTCCATTGTTGATGCTCCTCTTATGAGTACAGTCACAAACAGCAGGTGCATATCTATCATGGAGAGGGTGTGCAGGCAAGTGTCATCCTGTCTCAGTGGGTGGCTGCTCCCGGGACGGAGGAGTGTGACATCCCTCAGAGGAAGCCTGGAAAGAGAAGTAGCATCTGCTGCATCTAGGTGGGTCCCAGTTGCTCCAAAAATGGCAGCTTAGTACCAATGGCAGCATTAGTATCCAGCACTTCTGATACTGCATCTCTGGCCAGAGAAAAGTGATACCTTCTGCAGGGTTCCTCACAGACCACAGAGGTGTCCACTGTGAGACTTGTAATACTTGCTGTGGCTGTTCTGGATGCTTGGCTGTGTGAAACCTCCTTTTCTCTTCTTTCACCCCCATCTCAAAAGTCCAATTTTATAGAGCCTGAGAAGAAAAGCAATGAGGAAAAATTAACAGTTCAGTTTTATTGTGGAAAGGCAATTTTTATATAATTCTCTCTTAAATCTAAGGATGAGGTAAGCAGAAAAAGCTAATTCTGACCTGGCAGTGAGACCATTTTGGGGGTGACTTTTAGTAGAAAAGTCTAATTTGAAACATTCTAAAAACTCTAAATTTTCCTCATCAAATGATATCAAGCAGTTACAACTCACTTATTTTTGTCATCATTGCCTTAATGCTTGCTCACATCTTATAAGAAATCATTTTTCCTGTTATTGTTCAGAGAAGCTCACAGTCAAATTGAAAAGAGGCGTCGGGATAAAATGAACAGTTTTATTGATGAGTTGGCTTCTTTGGTACCAACGTGCAACGCAATGTCCAGGAAATTAGATAAACTGACTGTGCTAAGGATGGCTGTTCAGCACATGAAAACGTTAAGAGGTGAGAGACCCTGGACTTTAGTGACCTTTTTGTTCTTGCCTCAAAATGCTACCATTAGTGCCTAACTGTTCCTGAGTGCCTAAGACCAGTGGTGATTACTTGCAAGTATGTAGACTTGAGTAAAATGCCTGCACTTCCCAGAAAAGTCATTACTGAGCTTCTGTGGGTATTGAGATGAGTTTTGCAGTTCTATGTCCCCAGAGCACATAAGCTGGGAGCTTTGCATACTCCATATGTGCATGTATGGAGCTCCCTGCATGTCAGCGAGGACACCACCGAAGTACCATTTTGCATGTGCATGTGCCTCGATATCTTATGGTGATGAAGAACCGGAAACGTAGCTGTACACAGTTATACAGAAAGTTAACTTCAGTTTTATAAGAGAAAAATTTACCCTGGCTCCTTTGACAAGTGAGTCATTGGTTGATAGATAGTTCTTGCGGTGTTTTATTGTCAGGAATGAACACTGACGATATTTTCATCTTCCTGGAATTTTCCCGAACTAGATTGACTCTTTGTGAGGGAGGCAGTGTTTTCCTTCTTGGCTGAGTGTGGGGAGGGTGAGAAAACAGAGGCAGGAAACTGGAAGTGACTTAATCAAACCACCAGAGAAATCTGAACTACATTAGGCATTTTGGTGAATTCTGCTCCTGGAATTTTCCATACCTAGTCTTGGATACCTGGGCAAAATTGGAAAGTGAGTTCCCAAGTCACAGCTGACATGTGTGATAAATGTCATATCTTTGTATATGCTTAAGGCCACCAGAAATAAGAAGTAGTTGGTTTTGTTATGACTTTTGCTTATTATTCAAAAATATAAATGTTAGTGTTGAAGAATAGCATTTAGAAATTCATTTTAGTGAAGTTGATATGGGTTTATTATAAACTAATCTATTAAATTCAAAGGAAAAAAGTGAAACATTTCAAGGTAGAATAAAAAGCAGGGATATGGATGAATAATGTGTGTCTTGTTAGTCGATATAAAAGTCACAAATATCCTGTTTACATCCTTCCCCATGATTGTTTGAGGGGTTATAGTCCTTTTCATCTTACTCTTTCACTATCTGCACTAGTCTGCAGATTCCAAGTTATTTACTGCTGGCATTTTTCTCAGTTATTGTTCTCCTGAAAAAAAAAAAATGCCAGATTGGGATCCTTTATACTCAAGTTTGGTCCTTTTCAGTCCTGGGAACTAGGGCTTTGTGGACTGGAGTGCTACATTTCTCTGGATCGCCAAGCTCATTAACTCACACCACTGAAGGGGAATGCATGCTCAGTGCCTTCTGCAATTATTCAAGACCTGGCAGCCTGGGTGATTTCCCGGGAACGTTTAGAATGATGATTTGAGGGACTGCTAGACAGCCCATTTAATATACACCTCAGGAAGGAAGAACCTCACCAAGAGCTTCCAGCAGTTTGCTTCTCAGTCTGCCTTCTCTCTTAGAAGCAGATTTTTAACTTCCTCCTCGTATCACCTGGTTTTCTCTCTGATAAGAAAAGCAAGCTTGTTTAGTCTTTTGTAGGCATCACATATGCCTGATGTATTCCAGATTTCTCTGGTTGTTTGATTAAGCCACTGCCAGTTTCCTGCCTCTGTTTCCTTACCCTCCCCACACTCTTTTTCAATAGAGTTTTCTTTGGCATGACAGGATTCTGTCTGAAGCCAGATCTAGCCCTTAGTGAAGGAAAAAAAAGATAAAAATGCAGATCTGAGGTGGTGGAGTCTAGGCCTCATCCAGAAGGTTGGTAGCAGTGAAATAGGAGGAGATGGTGTCTGAATATAAAGTCCTCCAACTCTCTCTTTTCCCCCCTGCCGAAGGTGCCACCAATCCATACACAGAAGCAAACTACAAACCAACCTTTCTGTCGGATGATGAGCTGAAACACCTCATTCTCAGGGTATGTTGCAATTATGGAGTTACTTTATATAACACAGATTTTAAAATAAATTTCTGAGTAAGTAAGTACCAGCATGTGGGAATTTGATGTCTCAACATGGAACTCTTTCAGGCTCACTTCCTATCTCAGGTCTGCACCTTTATCTTATTGTTTGGGAAGGCTTCACACTCCTTCCATACAGTCTGTCACTTCTTTTCTAACCTTTCTTAGGCAAAAGTGGAAGGTCTATGTACTGTGATTTTAAGCCAGCAGAGGTAGAGTTTTGTCAAAAATGGGATGTAATTAAGAATTGTATTCCTGCACGAAGACTTTAGAAAGGGTCTGAAACTGACCACTGTCATAAAGAGGTCCACTCAAATCATTATACCAAGATCCATCCAAACTTGCCTAGCAAGGGTGAGGCCCTGAGTTCAAACTCTAGTACCACCAAAAAAAAAGAATCCAACCAAACAACGAAATTGCCAAAGAGGAAGGGGTGTGTGCTTTTGCCTCTTGACTCTAGTGCTCTGTTTGTCTTGCTAAGTCTCTGCAGAGAGATGGTTGAGATGGCCTTGGAACTTGTTGGCTTCTACAGAGGATTAGGTCTGTACAAGGCTCTAAGGTGTGCTAGTGGACAGAGTGAAATTCACTTGGAAATTGAGGGGAAGATACTGAATTCAGGAACATGTCTCCTTGCACATTGTAAAAGTAAAACCAGGAAGCCATAACTAAAAGAAAGGCTACCTGCCCCCTCCTTCCACGTAGCTATAAGTGACCTGGCCTGTCCAGCCCCTTCAGCATCATGGCCCCTGTCTTTCAGCAGAAGTTTGCAAAGCCCCAGGATACAGGGGAGTCCAGCTGGATCTCTACATCATCACTAGCCGTTTTCTGCTCAGCCTGGCTTCAGGCACTCTGTAAGTCTGGCCTGTCTCTCACTCTAGTATTCTCTCTTGATCTGCTCATTACGTGCTATATCAAATGGGAAAGCTTTCACTGCAATGAATGGAAGACCTGATGAATAAACAGTTTCATTTCTCAGGGATAACTGTTAGGGGTAGGTTGTGTGGGGTTGCTGTGGAGGATATTGAGGTCAGCAGGACTAGGCTGTCTTCTCTCACTACCTTGCTAAGCTAGCATGCTTGCTGGTTTCCTTCATGGATGCCAGGTCTGAGTGTTCAGACAAACTAGAGAAAAAGGGTGAGGGAGGCTCCAGGCTGCCTGTCCTTTTTATCAGGAAAAGATACTCCTTCCTAGAAGCTCAACATTGAACTTGAACTTACCAGGAAATGTGTTACCTAGTCACGCAGGTAACACAGGACAGGGCAGGGTGTAGAAAAAAAGTATACAGATTGTTCAGCTCCACAGTGGAGCCAAGCATAGAGAAGGAAGGTGGGAAACGAGGTTGTTAGCCCCTCAACGTATTTGTCACACACACTTTCCAGGACTCATCCATTGGCTAGATTTCCCTCCATGCATGAATTGTACAACCCAATTCAGCACTTCCCCTGTGGTCTGAGTGTTCTGAGGTTGAATGGAGCCATAGAAGTCACCTTGTTAGTGCCATATTTGGGGCAGCTGCAATACTGCTCCTCCTCTGCTCTCTTGTACAGGAAATACTGGTAGATCAGAGGTTTTATATTTTGCATGGATGTAGTTTGTATTTCTGAACTTATGATAGGACTTCTCTTTTACCTCTGTCAAAATCTATTTGTTAGATGGCTCCATGGTCAGCTTGCCATTAATGATCCTTTGAATCTTACTTGTAGATCTGCTAGGCCATTGATTCTTGTTCATTCTCCAATTCAGTTTTTGTATACTTAATGGCTACATGGCTCTTTGTCAGGAACAAACACTTCAGGTGGGGCCCAGGCTTCTCAGGACACAGTCAGACTTCTGACCCTGCCCCACCTCTCTGTTCTTTCCATAAAGCTATCCTTGTGCTCAGGGAGGACTCACTGAATTTAAAATGTAAACTAGAGTTTAGTATCTTTGGAGCTGCCATCAGGACTGGCTTCATGGGCATGCCATTGTGCAGTTATCCAAGACCCCTGCTTGGTTTAATGCTCTACTATAGCCACTTGAAAATTGTCATTTTTGAATGAGAAATGAATTTTCATTTTGTGCTCGACCCCACAATTATGTTGCTGGTCTTGATTACCATACTGGTAATTTTAAGAAAATGTGTGTGAATATATACATAATGTGTGTGTGTACATATCAAGCTCCTTTTGCAATAATTACTTCCTTGTTACTGCTTTTTAAAATGATTTTCTATCAGATACCCACACATATCAGGGTATGGAATAAGAGTTATGATGCTTCAAGCTAAGCACTTTGTCTTGGGCTTGCCTTTTCTGCTCCTCTGTTTCAGGTAGTGATCATGGTGGATATGTCTTCTTTGTGAAACTTCTCTCACTTCTTTGGCACACATCAGTGGCTGTAAAATATTGTTCAGTCCCTTGCCACTTCCAGGTGTCCAGTTGCCAAGGACTTGCATCAATAGAAGGCAGGCTTCACTCATATGATGTTTAGAGAGTTAGGCAAGTAGACTCCACTTCTCCTCACCAATGCAAATCTGAGAAAATGCGTTCCAAATGTCTCAATAAACAGTATGCCAGGGATCAGTCCATCTTACCAGGTTATAATTTCTAAACACTCTACTTCACTGTTTTGAACTCTAACCCTACCAGTGTGTCTGCTCCTGGCTGTCCTTGGTGGCCCTTGGTGCTGACAGTGTTCTCACAAGCTCTGCTTCTCAGCTATCCCCTAAGGCCCAACTCCTTTGCCTGGTTTTTGTTTACCAGGATGCAGTGGAGTGGGGATGTTTAGAGCCCACTTGAAGCAAATGTATCCATGGCCTTCACAATGTGATGAAATCTACCTTGCTCAAGTCTTGGTTCAGGCCTAATCTGCCCAGCATTCCCTCTAAGATGTCACAGTCACCTTCTTCCCAGGCACCTTTTGTGCCACATCCCTACATTAGTGAAAACACTTCTCTTGTGAGATAGAAGATTGACTGCAAGGCAAATGAGGAAGTTATTAATATCCTATTTTTTTTTTTTGACAGAATGAGGCTTCCAGCAGATGGGGCTTGGAAAATTACTTCCATCTCACTGGCATTCCTTTCCCTGGGCTAGCTTAGGGACCTGACTTCCCCTCTGGCTATAGTGGTTCTGTTCCCCCTCCCTTACTTCTGTCAGGTGCACATACCATTTTTTTTAGCCTTCTGGTACATGAACTAATTTCCTAATCCTTTGTATTAAACTCTATCCCAAAAGCCCTTTTGTAGAAAAGAGAACAGAACTTACCTAGATTTTTCCGAAGAACTGACTGAAGGCTCATGAGTAAAGGGAGTGGAGTCATAAGAGCAAGTATGTGCCCGAATGGGGAGAGCCAGGAGGCCCAGCGGGACCTGAGTGGTGGCCCATTGGAAAGGTGTAGGTAGGATTCACGCACACTTAGACAGAGCAGCCCAAGCTCTCAGGAACTTTAAGCTTTGGCATCTACCTGCTTTAGTCTTTCTTAACAAATGTCCTTTTCTGTACCTGTCTCTGTTGGCATTTTAGATTTTTACCTGTGTTTAAACTAAAGAAGTAAGAAGAACTTAGTAGGAATTGTGAGCTTTTTGTTTCTTGTCTCTCTTAGAATACAAATAGCCCAGCCCTGGGTGACATAGTTTCTGACCCTGTGCCATTTGCGTCATGTTGGGGTAGGGGTTAAACACCAGTGATAGCCTTCGTGCCAGACCACCACCACCAACAATGAAATGAAAACAAAACACCTCTCCAAACATCGAAGCTGTTCAAATTTCAGGCAGATGGTGGCTGAGATACTGAAGAGGGGATTCTGATTAAAGGGTCGTTCCACTGTCTGATTCTGTGGTTCTCCAGAGTTGTTATAATTAGAGCAGTGAAACATGATTTCTGCAGACCGTCATAGAATCCAAAGAAAATTCTTAAGCTGAATTCGGTTTTGAAACAGAACTTACTTTAATTGGACTTTTCCCTGTAATTGTTAGATGATAAGTGGCTGTGTATATGTTCACCTTTGAGAGACTTATTTTATTCTCATAAAGCGTTTGTTTTAAGCATCCTGTTCTTAGGACGCCAGTGAAACTGTCAGTGAGTGTTCCTGTGCTTGTGAGACTTGATTTGCTTGCTACCAGAGTGAGTACCAATTATGTGTCCTAAAATGTGATAAATTGATTATCCATTTCTCCTGATTAGGCAGCAGATGGATTTTTGTTTGTCGTAGGATGTGACCGAGGGAAGATACTCTTTGTCTCAGAGTCTGTCTTCAAGATCCTCAACTATAGCCAGGTACTGTTCATGTTCCTGCTGGTGATGGGCAGCTGTATAGCAGTCAAAAATACTACTCCATGTTTTGGGATAACTAAAGTTTCACATATGAAATTTTTTTCAAGAAAATCCTTAACTTTTTTTTTTGGTAAAGCGGGAAAGTTTATTCAGATAGGAAAATATAAGGTGAGAGAGCAGTGCCCCCAAATTTTGGGGGGTTCCCAAGAGAGGGTGCTCCAGTCCTTAACTTCTTAACAAAGGAATTTAAACTTAGAAGAATCTTTTAATGTGACCCATATTTCCCCCACTTGAACATCTGACTCTATAATCTGATCAACACCTTTATAGCTTTCTTATTGCTGCAAAACAAATATCCGATAACTATGGAGTGGGGGTGAGGATCTGCCAAGGGAGAAAAGCAGGCAGGCAATTCCCTACCAGAGAATAAGAGACTTGGAAACTCACCCCAGACTGTGTTTGCAGTGATATGAAGCTCTGCTGAGCCTCACCTTCCTCCAGAAATTGATTATAAAGCATACCTTTTATGATTGTCTATAGGAGCAAATAAGAGTAACATATAAAACTTTCCCCAGAATTTTTGTTCATTCATTCACTCATTCATATACTGATATTTGCAAGGAAGCCTGGTAGGCAGAAGAACTGAATCAAAATTACATTTAAATAAATTAGAATTAATGTAAATTTAGTTTTCCAAAGTATTTTGCTCTTTTTAGTCTCAGAGCAAAGTTATGGAGGGACATTTTGTTCTCTATGATCAGGTAAGATGACTTAAGGAACATGATGACTTCAGAGAGGCCTTGGACGGGTGTGGTGACACATGCCTGTGATCCCAGCACTCAGGAGGTTGAGGCAGGAGGTTGGCAATTTCTGAGGCCAGCCTGGGCTCCATAGTGAAGCATTGTCTCAAAAACCAAAGAAACAAACATCGAGAGAGAGAGAGAGAGAGAGAGAGAAAGAGAGAAGTGGTGATTTATGGTAAAGCCATACCCTATATACATTTCTCCCTCTGAGGTTTTGCAGGGGAATTTGTAGGCATCAGATATAAATTAAAAATACATACAACCCAGTGACTCTTGCCTTGGAACATGAACTGTTTCCCCTCCTCACATGTTATCAAAATCAACCTCCTATTGCCTCCTTCATTGCGGCTGTCTAGGCTGTACAGGTTCAAATATGAAGTGTGTGAGATTATACTTAAAAATACAGACTGTGAGCACTTGTGTAAGTTTATTCTGCCTGCAGGCGATGTCACTTTTAACATTTCATCCCCACAGAATGATCTGATTGGTCAGAGTTTGTTTGACTATCTGCATCCTAAGGATATTGCCAAAGTCAAGGAGCAGCTCTCTTCTTCCGACACCGCGCCACGGGAGAGGCTCATAGATGCAAAAAGTGAGTGGAGGGGCTGTGTGTCTCCTCAGCAGCCTGCCCCGCCAGGCGCCCAGCAGGTGCATGGTGGCTGCAGACTCTCTTGTCCCACCGCTCTGCCCTTCCCCTCTGCCACAGCTGCTATCCTGTGGCTAAATGTAATCATTTATGGTCTTTGGGGTTTGTCTTATTGTAAAGAAGAAAAATTCAATATCCAAATTTATTGTGAGAAAGAACCCCCTTGATTTGGTTCTTTCTGACTTCTAGTCTTTTTTCAGAAGCTAGCAATTTCCAGTTGTGTATTTCTGAGTTTAAATGGCTCACCTATATCTGAGATAACATGCACAGCCTCAGAAGATAAAAGAACACTTAAAATGTAAATATAACATTTGACAGAAGTGGTTCCTCATTAGCTTGGCTCCCCCTCCTAGCTTCCTTCATGTAGCAGTGGCATCACCATTGACATTGTCCCCCCAGCTTCCTGCTCCAGCACCCCATCCTTTGCCTCCTGCACCAGTCCCCAGAAGCATTCCTCTGGGAGGCCGTGCCCTCCTGCAGTTAAGGGTATGAACTCTGGAGAGGCTGATTGTCAGGTGTACATCCTGGCTCCACCATTGTGTGGCTTTCAGCAAGTTACTAAATCTTCAGTTTCCTCATTGGCAAAACAGTACCTATTTTGTTGGGTTGTTACAAGGATTAAGTATGTTAATATACTACATACAGAGCAAAGTTCCTGCATGTAGCAAGTATACTATCAGTGTTCTATTCACCTTGACCCAGGGCAGTCATACCCTAACTGCTTTCTTGCTTCCAAGTTTGCCATGTGAATCCCTGATGGAGACACCATCAGATGTCCTTCAAGACATTCTTTAACATGTTCCTCTTCTTCCTAGAAGTGAAATGTAGGCCTTGGTGCCTGTTACCCTTTATAGTTTGACCTTGGCATCTTTTTAGTGACCTAGGGGGAGAAAGATGAATGGTGTGTTTGGTCCTTACCTTTGAGCCTCTTGCCACACACTCAGGAGATAATGACACAGACAGCACCCTGCTTTATAGGTGAACCACAGAAATAGCACCAGCATATAGAACAGGATGAGTAATTCTCACGTGGGCATGAGGGCAGGTGTCACCGAGTCCATGACAGCCAAGGTGGGTTTGAAAAGATGAATTGTTTGCCAGGTGGTAAAGGGAGGAAAAGAGCAGAGGAAACGATTTGTGGACAGGTACGGAGTATGGAGCCTCATGGCATGCTTGGTGCCATTGGAGCCAAATGTACAGGGAGGGGGATATGGTGAAGGGCTCTAAGCTGAGCAGGGCAAGCTCAGATTGGCATTCTGGAGAGGTTCACAGAGGTGGCAAAGGGGCCCTGGGCAGCAGCCACTGTTGGCAACTGCTACTGTGATGACTGTGGGATACCCCCACCCCACCCCGTGGTGGGGTGTAGCCTATTGAATTGTAAGGAGGACTATGGGCCAGGGAGGTCACCCAGGGAGCTTCCAGCACAGTCATTCTCTACCTTCAAGGACTGAATTCACTTGTTCTATAACAGCCCAGCCAAACAGAAACAAAATGCAAATCAGGCTGCGTGGGGAGCTCAGTGGCAGAGTTGCTTGCCTAGTGAACAGAGGTCTTGGGTTTGATCCTCACCAGCACACGCAAGTGTGCACGTGTGTGCGCAGTAAACCATAAACGTGAGCCACGTATATAATTTTACATTATCTGGTAGCATATTTATTTTTTTATTGTTAAATTTTCCTCAGTTTTACTTAATTTTAATCTAAGTCATTAGTAGTCTCTTTTTTTGTCACTTTTTGAACATAGATAGGGTCTTATACTTGCTAGACAAGCATTCTCTAATAGCACATTTAAAAAAGTAAAAATAAATGTAAATTAATTTTAATAATGTACTTTTATCTAACTTAAAGCCAAAATATTACTTTCACATGTAGTAATTTAAAAAAATTCAAAATGTTTTTGGTACTGTTGTTGAAATCCTATGTGTATTTCACACTTACAGCTCATCTTCATTCAAAAAAGCCACATTCAAGTGCTCAGTAGCTGCACACAGCTCGTGGCTTCCTCGTTAGACAGCTCAGATCCAGAATGGGATTGAAGAATCAGTGTGGATAAAGCACCCATGGGATTCTGGCCTCCAGCCAGGTCAAGAATTTAAAGCAATCCCACATCTTCCCTCCTACTCCAACATCCAAATTTTGCCCAGTACCAGCCCAAGTTCTTCCCTAGAAAATGCAGGTTGTCTTTGCCGTTTATTTGGCGCTAATCATACAACACTTTATTAATTGTCTTTTCTCTGTCCTTCCATTTCCCTTTCTCACTCATAAGCTCCTCTTGGACAGGAATGCTGTACTGTATTTCTTTTTATCCCCCAGAGGACCTAAGCCATTTGTCCAGTAGTGCTTTCTCCCTGATGTGTAAACATCTCCAGAAGAACAATACACCAATCCTTAGTGCATCTTTTGAAGCCTAGGAGAGATGTAATTCCCACATCATGGGTGTAAAACAGTGAGGCAGTAAAGAAGGGGCTTTGTTCAAGGTCACAGTCCCCCTCCTGTCAGAAACAGTACTCTCTGTTCATCACATTTTGTGTGTTGATTTGCAGCTGGACTTCCAGTTAAAACAGATATAACCCCCGGGCCGTCTCGATTATGTTCTGGAGCACGACGTTCTTTCTTCTGTAGGATGAAGTGTAACAGGCCTTCAGTAAAGGTTGAAGACAAGGACTTCCCCTCCACCTGCTCAAAGAAAAAAGGTACAATTTAACTGCTCTTTCACATCCCAGCTGGTCAGGGAGGCTTGCAGTGGAGCTCTCAGCTGTGTGTTGGTTTAATGCTTCCTGACTGGCTAGAGCCACAGCTCCCAGGCCTACAGCCAAGGGCAGTGGGGAGCAGGGGATAGCAAGTGGGAAGCCCTGATGTGTTGCCATGGGGACAGGGATTTGTGGATGGACTTCCTCTGTTTTAATTCTGTTTATCCTAATGTGGCTGGGGAAAAAACACTCTCAGCCACATTCTACCTGCCCCTTGATCCACCCAAATTACTCTCACCTACTTCACCAGTGACCTGGGGCTGCTAAATACAATGAACACTTTTCATTGTTCTTCCTTCTTACAGTGTTCTCTTCCCTGACCTTCTGCAAAATCAAATGCTTCCATCTCCCCTGTCCCTTGCCACTCCAGCCTCTCTTCCAGGTTCCTTTGGCTGGCTTCTCCTCTCTGTCTGCATTGGTAATGTCACCCAGTCCCATAGCTTTATTTTGTTTTATTTTATTTGCGGAAGTGGGGCTTGAACTCAGGGCCTTCACCTTGAGCCACTCTGGCAGCCCTTTTTGTGAAGGGTTTTTCCAGATAGGGTCTGGTGAACTATTTGCCTGGGCTGGCTTTGAACTGCCATCCTCCTGGTCTCTGCCTCCTGAATAGCGAGGATCACAGGCGTGAGCCACCGTGCCCAGCAGTCCCATAGCTTTAAATGCCATTCCCATGCCAATGAATTCCAAGTTTACATTTCCAGCCCGGGCTTTTCTTTTGAACTCCAGAATCACAAATGCCTAGTAAATCTACCTGCTTGGATATCTTGAAGGCTTCTCTAACGTGATACATGCCAAAGGAGCATGGAAGGCACCGGGCCCCTTACCAACTACTTTCATCAGCTGCGAAACCCTGCCATGAGTCTCATCTGTAGACCTCACTGGAAGTGTGGTTAGCCTTGTTCATGACCACACTGACACTCAGAGCCAGGCTGCCTCGTGGGTCTGGTGAAGTAGATCACATGCTTTCCACCCCTCCATACACCTGCCCAAATGACTTTTTAAAGCAAGTCTTTTCATCAGTTCCCTGCTTAAAACCCTGTTTCCCACTGCTCTTGAGGAAAAGTTCAGAGTTAACATGACCACACAGCCCCTGGCTGGCTTCTTTTTAGTTTCTCAAGCCTCCTTCTAGACAAGGCCTCTGTACACCATCAACTCTGATTGGAATTTCTTCCCCTCCCTATAGCTCCCTTCACCTTCTTACTGTAGTTTTGGACTGCCTTGTATTTTCTTGTGACATCCCACAGGTTCTGATTCTTTCTTATAGTTACTGTTCTGCTGTTACTTGTATGTGTTCAGTCTGCCTCTCCAACTACCGGAGCATACTTGATGTGTGTTCCACTGCATTCCAGCAGCAGCACAGATGCTTGGTAAATACTCCATAACAGTTGGTTTGGTGTTGAAGTCCACAGGTGCTCCATACTTCATGTGTCCCAAATCAAAATCTATTCTCCTTTGTCTGGTTTATGTTCTCTCTTCCTGAATTAGTGAATGGCACCAGCAACCAATCAATCCAGAAAAGTGGGGCTTTCCTGTCTTCTGTCTTTCCTTCATGTCTGATAGTCATACCAAATCCCAGCAGTTTTAACTCAGACATTTCTTCTGCTTCTCCCACCTGCTCTGCCACCATCAGCCCTCCTCATCCCTTGGTGTGTACTTTCCACTGACTCCGTTCTGCTGAGCCCTCCTACTTCTGGTTTCTCCTTTCTTCCAGTCCCTCATCATGCTGCTTCTCCAGATCCAAGCCATGATTTAATTTTGCTGTTTCCCTGCTTGAATACCTTTGGAAACTCTCCATTTTCTCTCTGAAAAAAACAAAAACTAATAAATCCATTAGCAAATAAACTAAGGCCCTCATAATCTGCCCCCAGCCTCCTCTCCAAATCTACCCCTAGCACCTTCCTTTCCACCTCAGCTATAGGGAGCTTTTGGTGTTTCTTGGGCAGGATATGTCTCTGTTCCATTGTACATTTTCATCCTTTACACACACTTCCATTCCTTAGCCTCTGCTCATCCTCCTTGGCTAACCTCCTATCTTGGTTTTTCTGGGAACTCTACTCTCCCCCAAGTAGATTTATTCCTTCCTTGGTGTATTATATGTAATGCTGTTAGTATAACTGACTCAACCAAGCATATATGACACTAGATGGCCATTGTCTAGTTTTCTGTCTGCTCTCTTCACTAGATGCTCACTTCTGGAGAGTGAGGCCTTATTTTTTCAATCTTTTGACTGGCTACCTACTTCTCACCCCACCATGGCTGCCTCCATGACCCAAACCCAGCACTGACCCTAACCATGGACTTTGCTTTCTAGCAGATCGAAAAAGCTTCTGCACAATCCACAGCACAGGCTATTTGAAAAGCTGGCCACCCACAAAGATGGGGCTGGATGAAGACAATGAACCAGACAACGAGGGGTGTAACCTCAGCTGCCTTGTCGCAATTGGACGACTGCATTCTCATGTGGTTCCACAACCGGTGAATGGGGAAATCAGGGTGAAGTCTATGGAGTATGTCTCTCGGCACGCAATAGATGGGAAGTTTGTTTTTGTAGACCAGAGGTAAGAGTCTACATGTTACCCTTGAGCAATGATGGTGGAAGATTTTCAACCCTGGGTTAAAAAGCACAGAAGACTGGCCCATCGCCTGGATTTTCTAAGAATAAAGAATGATGGCTCCAGGACCCATTTTTCCCCTTACAGATACCTATCTCTAAGTGCACAGCAGCTTTTACATAAAGAGAGGGAAGTGATGAGGATCTCTGCTAAAAAGGAGACCAATTAGGAGATCATCATAAATACACTGCTTTTCTATGTTATTCTTTGGTATGTAGAGACAGTTAACTGGGGAGGTTTGAAGTTCGTGGCTAAAAGGAAATAGTAAACATATAATTTAAATGTATGAAAAGCTCCAGAACCATTATTTCGAATTAAATGTAAGACTTAGAAACAACTTTTTAGTCCTGAGCTATCCAATATAGTAGTTGTTGGTTCGTATGGTATGGTAGTCCGTATGGCTATTTAAATGTTAGTTTAATCAATTAAAATTAAAAATTCAGTTCCTTAAGTTCACTAGCTGCATTTTAAGAACTAGACAGCCACATGTGGCTAATGATATATAGAATACATCTATCATCCAGAAAGTTCTATTGGATAACATTGATCTGATCTGGCATCCTTATTTTATGGTTGAGGAACGAGGCCCAGCCCAGGGTCAGGCTTCCTGCCAGACTCATAGCTAATTGGTAGTAGACCTGGACTAAGAATTCAGAGGTCCCAAGTTTACTGCTGCTTGCTGCCTCCCTAAGAATATTCACAGGACAGGAATGTAAACGAGGTCCTGTTAGGGGGAATGGAATGGCTGGGACTGGGAGAGGGAATGAAGAGGATGAAGGAGTGTGAATATGGTCAATGTGCTTTATATACTTGCATGAAAATAGAATAGTGAGACCTGTCAAAGACTTTTTAAGTAGAGGGGGAGTGGGATGAGGGAGAATGACGATGGGGATGAACCTAACCAAAGTACATTGGAAGCATATATGAAAATGTTACAGTTAAACTAATATATGCTAATAAAAATTTTTTAAAGATTTTCACAGGCTAGTAACTTTTCTGGTTGCTAGAGACAAAAGACTAGAAAAGGAGTTGTATACTTTTCAGGACCTTGTGGCCCCTGCTGTGAGAGCTTCTGGAGTTTGGCTACTATGATAAAGGCAGGCTTAGTAAAAAGGAGGAACTCACTGGAGTTTTTAAGTCTCTACTACCTTTTTACCTAATTAATATGGTTGCCATTATAAAACCTCCTAAAATTTGATATCTTGGGATAATAGTCTTTGAAAGACTTGTTTTATAGCCTTAATTAAATTCAGAAGCCTGGAAAAAAAAAAAAAGACCCACATAGTAAGCCCTCTGAGAAAAGCCTCTGGAGGCTTTTCTGCCTCCAGCTTTGGTCTTGTTTTGAAAAGGTAGCCAGTGACACGTTGCTGTTAATTATCTGAATGGCTTTTTCTTCTTACAAAGTCCCTATTCTCTTTTAGGGCAACAGCTATTCTGGCATATTTACCACAAGAACTTCTAGGCACATCATGTTATGAATATTTCCATCAAGATGACATAGGACATCTTGCAGAGTGTCATAGGCAAGGTAAGCTGGGCTGTATGAATGGCCTTAAGTTTAAGGTGTCCCCCTGCTTCTAGGCTAGTTCACATGTCCTTCCAGAGAAACCTGCCCTTGCAGTGTGGGATCAGCTAGCCCAAGATTCTTCAGGCCAAAACGTGTATGCAGAAAAGAGGCTGATGGCCCTAGTACCATTTACTCCTAAGATGCCCAGCCCCACTCGCACAGCACTTTCCTCTACAAAGGCCATGGCAGTTTCTAGAAGGCATCTTTTGTTCAGGGTTTACCTATAGCATATGAAGATTTCATATGGCCTGGTTTAATCTTCTTCTGGCTTCTCTTTCACTTACAAGCCTACAATGCTTCCTATATTTTCCTTCTTGACTAGTGATGTGGCCACAGATGCAGCCTCCTGAGGAGCCAACATTGGTCCCTTTCTTCAGTGTCTCTACCAAATCCTACTCATTTGTTCCAGGCATTATTTCAGAGTCTGCCTTCCATACCCCCAGTGCGATGACCCTGGTTTGAGCCCTTTTGCCCACCTGGAGACCTACAATCCTACGGGGTCTCCCTGTTCCCTCTCCCCCAGTCCATCCTCCATAGTTACTAACTTACCCTCAGATTGATCAAACCTAATGATGTTACATCCCCACTTAAATCCCTTCTGCCTTTAGACTCAAGCCCAATTAACTATGATGGGCATTGAATTCAAGACCTCCCACCTCCTAGACCCAACTCAGCCCCTCTGTTTCACTCCCTTCCCTGCCTGCAGCTACACTGACCCTATCATCTGTGCTTGCCCTACCAGGCCCTGCCATTCCTTGGGCACTGTTGGCTTCCTCTTTCTTCCTCTTGGCCAATGTATTCATCTGCAAGACTGATCTCTTGACTTCTCCATGTAGCCTTCAGTCACTCCTTTCCTGAGGGCAGAAGTCAGACCCTGTCTCCTGTTCTATCTCCAATGCTTGGCACACGAAAGGTGCTCACAATATGTTTATTACATAAAAGAATGAGATTTGAGTAGTTCAATGGCCTCTATTGGTTCAGATTTTCTAAAAATGAGAACAAGTACCTTCTACCTTCAGGGTTTGTGATGGAGAGAGAGTCTTGCCCTTTGGACAGTGCATTTTCATTTGCTGGTGTTCATGTCAGAGATGACTTCAGCATTCCCCACAGCTTTTAATTTCCATAGACCCTGGAAAAGAGTGACAGGTTGACAAACAAAGTGAAAGACAAACAGCCTGTTCCCTGAAGTGTTGACTGCTGGCTCCCTTGGCTTATTAAAGAGTGATGGTATTGGAGCCTGAGCACCTTTAGTATTTGGTATTGGGTATCTTGTTTAATACACCAGTTTGAGGAAACAACAATTTTCATGGTTTCTTTGCATTTTCAGTTTTACAGACAAGAGAAAAGATTACAACTAATTGCTATAAGTTTAAAATCAAAGATGGTTCTTTCATTACACTACGAAGTCGATGGTTCAGTTTCATGAACCCTTGGACCAAGGAAGTAGAATATATTGTCTCAACAAACACTGTTGTTTTGTAAGTATTTTACATCAGAAGCTCCCTTACTTCAAAGAAAAATGTGTTGGGATCCTTATTTGGGAAAAAGGGGCACAGGCAACAGCCAGTATCACATCCTTTAATGCCATCTTGCTAATGTCTTGTGAAGCCTCAGGATGGGCGAAGCCAGAAGGGTTGTTAACAAAGGACAGACTTCAGTATTCATACCATGCAAGCCAAGTCCTGGCTTGTAAAACTGCTCCAGGAAACAGCAATCTTTCCTTCCAGATAAAGCAGGCAGCAATTGAATTCCACAGGCCCTGCATGCTGGGCATCCACTTGTGCTGCTGTGGAGTGAGGGGCTTACCTTCTGTGAACGGCTTACATAGGCACTAGCTCTTGCTGGCCTTGGCTGAGGATGGACAGGTCTCAATGCCTACCAAGCTGGTGGCCCAGCACTGGCAGCTGGAATGATCCCTTAAAGGCTGCTGCCACCTGCTATGTGAAGAGAGGAAAGGAAAGAGCCTCTTCTTTGGCAAGGCCTGCTCCCCACACTTCCTTCCCCATGAGATTCACTGCCACCTGTAGTTAGAAGTGAGGTGAGCAAGGGGCTGAGGCTGACAGGAGAGGAGGCACTGTATCAGTGGGCTATTGCAGCCACCACTTCTCCTGGACTGTGACCTACATAAATTAGGAAGGCCCCAGGCAGGCGGTGAGGCCAAAGGCCAGGATGCTGTCCATCATGATAGCAAACAGTGAGGAAAACTGTTCAGCCACTCAGATAGATACTTCATTTTCTGGCCTGTCCAGGTCCAAAGTGGACACCGGACACCTTGGCCAAGGTGAAAGGTACACGGTTCTGAGCAGGCCTGACTCACCTTTCCTTATTGCTGGGATGTTCACAGAGCCAACGTCCTGGAAGGCGGGGACCCAACCTTCCCACAGCTCACAGCGTCCCCCCACAGCATGGACAGCATGCTGCCCTCTGGAGAAGGTAACTATGTACTGCGGAGCATCGGGCTTGCCCGTATGAAGCTGCTTGTGGCCATACCCTCCACACAAGTGCTCAGAATCCCTTGCTGTCACATTCTGTGGAACAGGGAGTTCTCAAGGGGATGATGTACTGAATTCCCCCAGAGTGGAGGATGCCGTTGTCACTTTCTCAGTGAATCCTGGAATGCTGGGAACTCGTTGCACTTTCTGAGGCTGTAAAATAGCCAGTTCCTTGCTCTTCTTGTGCTTTCCACCTCCTTGGTTGCCTTATGGCTATGATGGGACATGCTCTTTGGTGACTGTAGTTGGGTGGAAGGTGTCTGTTGTTGCTGGGGTATGTGCCATTCCCAGGGGGTTCCTTCTTCAGGCTCATCCTTGGTCTCTGCTCTCCACACTGAACTTGTCCTTCCTGGGACCATTTCAGCTTGCATGACTTCAGTCTCCACCTCTTCACTGGTGACTCCCACACCCACAGCCCCAGCCAGCTCTGGTCTCTCTCCTGAGCTCCAGTTCTGTCTCCTCAGAGGCCTCCCGGACAGAGCCACCTGGAGTCACAGAGACACCTGAAATTCGGAATATCCCCGACTGATTCTCTGCACTTTTCTGTTGTTAAGCCAAAAACGTTGACTCCTGCCCCTCCCCCATGACCTAAACACAAAGTTCTGTCATTTCTGTCTCTTAAACTATCCATCATTACTGCCTCCACGTTGCCCTCCTCCTCTGCTATCTGGATTATAGCATGTAACTTCCTATCCCTAATTACTGCTCCTCTTTACAATCGTGTGTAACATAGAAACACTGTGGTCAACATCTGATCACATATATCACAGTGGTCCCATAAGATTACAATGGAGGTGGAAAATTCCTATTACCTAGTGGTGTGTTAGCTATTGTAACATCTGGGGCAACACTCACAATCCTGTTTATGTATGTTTAGATTCACAAACACTGCCATGTTACAGTTGACTGCGGTATTCAGTGCAGCAACACGTTATAGGTCTGTAGCCTAGGAACAACAGGCTGTATCCTATAGGCGGCTATCCTGTCTTGGTTTGCGTTGGCCATACAATGACAAAATCAGCAATGATGCATTTCTCAGAATGTTTCTGTCGGTAAGCAGCACATAGCTAGCTTAGTGCCCATGTGGTGGACTTCTAATAACCCAAATCTCATTCATTGCCGCTTCTATATAAAGTCCTTTGGTACTTCTTATCCCTTTGTGGATGGTTACTGTCCAAATCCATTAGTATGGCATCCAAGGCCTCTCGTAAGCTGACTGATACCTGCAGCACCACTTCCATCTCATGCTGTCATCCTCCACGAACACCTTGCAGTAGAGTTCCAAGTTCTGTCCTGCCTCAGTGCTGTTGCACGTTGGTTACTGTTCCAGGGATGCCTTCCCTTCCTTACAAAACTCTTTGCCAAGCCAGTTTATACTTATCTTTCAAAATTCAATTTACAGTTAACATCTTCCGAAAAAGCTGCCCCTGGATGAATTGGGTGCCTCGTGTTTACCTGCCAAAGTTATATCACATTTTTGCTCTAGCTTTGTTAGACTGTGAGCTCCTTGAGGGCAGGGACACTGTCTTATCTCTGTAACCCTGGCACAAAGCACAGTGCCATTTGGCAAACATTTTTTGAGTGCATGAAGGGAGTTAGGTGCTTCATGGCAACACTTTGGTCACAGGTCTTGGAAGCTTGAGCCTTCCCCTGCTGAAATGCCTTTTCCTGACAAGGTACAACCTTGATGTTGAACTTCAAGTGGCTCATGTATTTTCACTTAATACATAATCGCATTTCTTCCTCAGTGTTCCCTTTTCCCACTCTCAGATTCCTCTGTTGTAGGTGGCCCCAAGAGGACCCATCCCACTGTTCCAGGGATTCCAGGGGGAACCAGGGCTGGGGCAGGAAAAATAGGTCGAATGATTGCTGAGGAAATCATGGAAATCCACAGGCAAGTAACATCTGGTTGTTCTCCTAAACCAGTAGTTCTCAACCCAGGCAGTCCCCCTTTCCACCTCACCCTCCAAAGGAATGTTTCACAATTTCTAGAGACATTTTGTGGTTATCACAGTTGGGAGGGAGGTTGCTGTTAAACATCCTACAGTACGTAGGACACCCTTCCTACCTCTGACCAACAAAGACTGATCCAGTCCAAAAGATCAACAGTGCTGAGATTTAGAAATCTTGCCTAACATGAAAAAGTAAACCAAAACAGACCAGAGATAAATGGGACTCTCAGGGAGGCTCAGTCATACCTCTCAGGGAGACAAAGCCATACTCTGCGTGTGACTTAAGGAACTTCCTAGCAAGGATGGACGTACAGGACAATGCAGGACTGCAGGAAGCTATCAACTGCCAGAGTAACCTGCACCTTAACATTCACATCTTCTTCAGGCTACCTAGGGTTAGTAAAGGAGACCAGCAAATCAGCTAGAGGCTGTTCTGTTGGCATAGCCTTCCTTTCCATATGAAAAAGGAAGCTTGGAAGCAGTCTACCTGAGGTTGAGTCCTGTGCCTGCTTCTCTGCATTGGCCTTGTGAAGGAGAGTCACTTAATCTCTGTTGACTCATACCATAAAAGGTAGGTACTATCTACCTCCTAAAGGTTGCATTAAGGTTGTGAGGGAACTCAAGAAAGTCCTTGGAACACAGCCTGATATACAGTAAGTGCTCTTAAATTGAGTTAAATCTAAGTCCTTGAAAGCAGTCATTGAAAGGGAGCAGTCATTATAAATCCATCTGAATTTGAGGAATCGGGAGGGTGGTAACCAGATACTTAAGGATGTAACCTTAATGGAACATATCATAGGAAAAGGAGAAAAAAGAGTAATAGTCTCTGCTGCCACTGGATCGATTCTCTCAGAATTGGAGGCCTGTTTTCTAGTTGGCCACAGAGGAGCTCTTATCCCCATCAGTGACAGAATACTGAGCCAGCCCCACAGAAGTAGTGGGTTTGGCTGCTTGCCTATACCTCAGAAAGGAGCTGAAGGATATGGTGCAGTATAATCAGGATCAGCTCAACTACCACATACCTTGGCTTTGTGAGACCATCCAAAAGCAGCATTGAACAGAGAATCCTTGACCTCAAGGATCTTAAAATCTTTTGAGAAGTCTGTTTTCTTATGATGATAGGAAAAGCAGATAATGCATGGATGAAGCAAGCAAGAGAGACTTTGAACTTGATCTTAGCTAAGGTTTGCAACAAGGGTGGGTGTTCCCTCTAGAAGATCAGGCATGCTTTTTTTTAAAAAATAAAAGTAATAATAAAGTTTATTAGGAAAGGAATCTAGTATGACAGTAAAAGTGGAGAGAAATGGGGAAAAAAGGGAGAAACGTTTCCTGCTCCCCACACAAGAAATGGGAGTAGAGACTCCCAGGCATACTCTTCAAGAGGCATGTGAGTAGCATGTTCCAGGTCAAGAAGCAGGCAACCTAACTGGGCGGCCTGTGGGTAGGAAGAAGCTACAGGTTGAGCTATGATGGGAGATTGTGAAGAATCGTTAAGAAATAATGCTGCGCGTTTGGACCGGAAGAAATTCTTAATATTTCATTCACTGTAGGATGCTGAGCAGATGTCAAAAGTGTTCTGTGGAACTTCCACAGTTGTACTGGAATAGGGAGAGATAAAGGGGGGCATGTCTGATAACCTAGTGATGCTGTACTAAAAGTTGAAGGTGAAATAAGGATTAATGAAAAGGCAATCCAAGATGGGGAACCTGGAAAAAAAAGTGGTTTCATAGTCTTCAGTTGGAAAAGTTGGGGGGAGACTCAGCAATTTTTCGGTAATCAGTTACTAGCCATCTACGTGCTCAGAGTACATGATATATAGTCGTATCTGCCTTTGAGGAGATTCTAGCTCAGGAGAAAGAGAAAACTTGTGCACTCACAAATCTAGAGAAGTAGGCTGTACAGCCACAGATTTCTTGGGCAGTAAAGAATGGTCCCCAAGTGACCCAGAAGCTGCATTCATCATGGAAAAGCTGACAGCCTGGTGGTAACATAGCTGCCACCACACTCCATGAACTCCAGCTCTAGTGCCAAGCCATGGCTTCCCACCCGGAGACCTTCAATCTGACAAGATTTATTTCAAGTCTTCTATAAATGTGCTCTGCTGAAGTATTCTGTGAAGGGCCCAGGTCGATGTTTTCATTACCTGCTGCCTCTAGAAGGCTGCTATCTTTACTACTACTTCTGCTAACTAGGTTACTTTTTAGAGGTGGCTGAGCTACCCTGCTACCTTCCATTTCCTAAGAGTACTCACTAGCATAACATTTGTGGGGAAGAAGATACATCGTTTGCTGTGAATTCCAGTCCATGCTTTAAAAGATGGTGGCTAACCTCCTAAGGTCTTCAACTGATCTGGATTCTTTAAGGAAATAAAAATGGCCATTTAAAATTCACTAACCTGAATCCAAACCCTAATCTAAGGGCTTTGTCAGAGATATGCTTGACTTCAGGGTCTGTATTCTAGATCAGGTACCTACAGAGCAAATCCAGCTTGTCACCTGTTTTTATAAATAAAGTTTTATTGGAACACAGCTATATTCTTTCACTTATGTATTGTCTGTGAATAGTATGACAAAAATCATATGGCCCACAGAGCTTAAGAGCTACTCTCTGGCCCTTAAAGAAAAAAAGTATGCCAATCCTAGCCTAGAACCTCAGCCTCCTCACTCTTACCACTTAATAAAACACACTCCCCTCTTGGAAACAGAAAAGGCAGTGTAACTAACCCTTCTCTTCTCTGACAGGATAAGAGGGTCATCACCTTCCAGCTGTGGCTCAAGCCCACTGAACATCACAAGTACTCCTCCCCCTGATGCCTCCTCTCCAGGAGGCAAGAAGGTAAGGTTGATGACTTAGGCTAGACAGCCTCTTGCCCAAGCTCTGAAATGTTGGGGAGGAAGTATAGAACTTCAGTTGTGATTGCCGAAACAAGTCAGACTTTTTTCCTCTTTGAAGAACATGCATCTGTGTGAGGCTGGCTACAAAGCATGTTGGTGGAGCTAGGGAGGCTTGCTGACATCCTCAAGAGGATTTTATTCCATGTGAATGCCGGAAGGCAGAAGGAACATTCTAAGGAAAGGGGAGCTGTCGGTCCGTTTCACTGAGGCAGCAATTCAAGAGTTTCCATGAGGGAAGGATTAGTAAGTACCTCACTCAGAAAAGTATCTCATTATTTGCCAGGAGTTTTCAAGGGAGAGAGTACCATTAGTGTCCAGGGAAGGCACTGGAAACAGTACTTTGGAAGTCAATTTAGGCTTTACATTTAAATACTAGGGATCTCTCTGTCTCTTGGGTATCCTCTGAGGTTACAGCATTGGGCAGTTTGTCAGTCACCAACCCTCATGAAGATCTGGCTAGATGATGCTACAAAGAAGTTTAGAAAGCACTCATCAGTTTTCATCTTTGCCAAGAATTTACAACATAGGCCATACTGTTTTAAATAGTATGAGTCCTAAGTCTATGAATAGTGCCAGAGGTTAGGGCAGCACAGGAGCCAGCATCTTTGGATACAAAGTTTTCTTCGTATCTCCTAAAACACATACAAGAGAAAGAGAATTGGAATTTACACAGATGGGACTCCTAGGTTACAAACTATTAGCAAAAGCAAGGTAGAGGCTTTCAAAATTGGGCTCTTCAGAAGGTCAGGATACCAAGAGATATGAGGCTCTTAGGTGGTAAGGTTACAGAGGTTGTTAATAAAGACTGAGGATAAGGACAGGACTCCTGATTCTACCAAAGCAGCTTTTCTTCTATTTTATATATGAATCTGAAGCAAAATTTTCCATTTGAAAAAGATTTTTGCTGCCTCCCAAAGTTGAAAAGTCAGAACAGTCAAAATAAGGTTGACTAAGCTTATGAAGCCTGGCTTTGCCACGTGACATGTACTTTTAAACTTGTATTTTCCATATATTGGAGCTGATACTGGTCAGGACAGTCAGCATCTTTGTACATGAAGTTCTGTTAAGAGAGAATATGTGAATGTGCCTCCCTTGAGAATGACTAAGAAAACATCACCAATACATGAAATCTAGGTTTGGTACCCCCATCTACTGTTTGCCAGTTAGGCACTTAGCTCTGTTCTTCTGTTATACTTCTAAGTCCTTCCTCCATATCTCCTTAAGACTGGTCTCCCTGTCTCTGCTCTCATTTCAACTTTTAGGTACCTGCCTTACATATTACTACGCATTCTACTACTCAGATTTGAAAAGTTATTACTCCAGTGTGTTCTTAAATATTACTTAAGAGAATTTCATACATACCTTGTCATCTTAGTCTTACAACTTTACAGATGACAACATTCAAGCTCCCAAGAATTTGTTTAATAAGTAGAACCCTAAATTACAATCCAGGTCTTGTGCCACAGTCCCAAGTATTTTTGAAGCATTTATGAAATTCTCTTTCCTCTTCTTTGGGCTTATAAAAATGGGTCTGGGAGAAGAAATTTTGATTCTGTTCTCTCAAGAGATGAGTCCTTAGCAGCAGGACTTACAAGAAAAGCAGCCCAAACAAGATGGTGTTTAAAATGACAGTGGAATTAAAACTGCAGTGGAACACAGAGTAAAGGTGGCTCTTCCCAGTCACTTTGTTTTGTCATTTAGCCTGAAGTTGTTTCAATCAGGATCAAACTAAAAAGGGGAGACTAAAGAAGCATCTATAGAACCCAGGAGAGTAAGAACATCCAGGGGTGCTAAGGCAAATTCAAAGAAAGCAGCAGTTCCACAAATGTCAAAAGTCACCAGTAGTCATTTAGGGATCTCCAAGACTCTCTCAAGGATTGGTGAGGTCAGTACTATTTCCATAACAATGCCAAAACGTTACCCTTTATTTTCACTGTTGATACGTGCACTGATAGTGCCAAAGCAATGGATGAAGCTGCTGATGCTTCTGCAAAAACCCAAGCAGTGGCACCAAACTGCTAGAAGTCATTGCATTCACCACCACACTCTTGAAATAAAAAGTAATTATCAGGTGGTAGAGAGCCTGCTTAGCAAGCATGAGGCCTTGAGTTCTAACTCTAGTCCTACCAAAAAAAAAAAAAAATACTGCTAGGCTGCTAGGGGCTGGCAGAGTGGCACCTGCCTAGTAGGCATAAGGCCCTGAGTTCAAACCCCAGTCCTGCCAAAAAAAAAATCAAAACTAAATAATTTAAAAGCGAGTTTCATTTAACAGTGTCCATAATGAAGCAGTAAAAATCATCACTCAAAGTGCTTGTGTTGCATATAGAGTATGACAGTTGTCTCAAGAAAAAAACTCTTGTGCAGTGAAGTTGTAAGCTTAACTAGCTGCTCATTTCACAGGACACCATTTTGACTATGGTTATTCAGACTTCACTGTGTTAACACATATCTGTCACTTCAAGGGAAACTGACAGTATTTTTTGCCAATGATAAAATTTGGGCTTTCCAGCAAAAATTGGAATTTTTATAAAACTCACATCTGCTACTTTGAGCTCAACAATGGTGATGTTTTGATGTTCTATAACCAAATGTGGTCTACATGACTCAGTAGCAGTACCCTATAAATGAACAATACAAGATATTTCAAGATCATTCAAGGATAATCCATCCCAAAGGTCAAGATACACCAATGGACTTTAATAAGGTACAAAAGATTCATTGATTCATAGGTTTTTCTATACTACAACATTTAAGAAACCATCCACTTGTCAAGTGTTGATATAATATAAAATACCACAGTTATTTGAAATTACTAAGATTATCTCTCCCTTCTCCGACTGCTATCTGTGGGAGTTTGGATTTCCTTCATATACTTCAATGAAATATATCTAATAGACTGATTGGAGAAACAGATATGGGAATCTATTTGAAATCTCTTCAGCCAGGCATTAGATATGCAAAATGTAAAACAGGGACACCCCTCTCACTAATCTTTTGTTGTTTTTTATTAAAATTCTGTTATTCATGTTAATGTATAATGGGTTTATTATATTTTAGAAATGTTAGTTTTCATTTCAAATACAGTAAATATCGATAAATGTAGCCCACCTAATCAGAAGTTCTTTGGTGTCTTCAATAATTTTTAGAAATATAAAGGGGTCTCTAGATGGAAAGTTGAATTGTGGCGTTAAAGTAAGTTGTAATGCCACCTACTGGCAAGGCCTGAAATCACTACTTCTCTTGAAATCCAATTTCCTCACTCCAGTCCAAATACTTCTCAAAGGATGTTCTCCTATAAGACTCAGCGAAGGAAAGGGAGATAAGAGGGTGAGTAATTCTGAGGCAGATTTAGAGTTCTATTATCAAATAGTAATAATGCTCCTCAGTGATCTATCTTAAGAACGGAAACCAAAGGTTACTGATGTTGGCACCTGTAATATATCTGGTTATGAAAGACTGAGTTCTATGGGGTTTTTTTTGTTCATTTGTGACTCCTTAGGAGTGGTCTCTTCACACCTTGTTAACAATCTCAATTATTTCTTCCTCAGCAACATCTGTTGCCATGTTTTACTCCCTTACAGGGCAACTGCCCAGCGGGGCTCACTGACATTTAGGCCTTGGCCTTAGAGAAGTATGTGAATAGTATGATCCCAGGTAGTTGGAGATTTTTATTCAGCCTTTAGGTTACCAGTGTGGGAGAGGTTTGTTTTTTGTTTTGTTTTAACTATCACTATTCCTGATAGTTTCTTATTTGAAATTATTCAATAGGAAACTGAACCCATTTGAAACCCCCCTCCCTTTCCAATATGTTTCATTTTTGTGGTGACATTGCACATGATAGTGATTGAAAATTTCATTTATGAATGGAAAAATTCACATTTTTCCCTTTTGTTTGTAGATATTAAATGGAGGGACTCCAGACATTCCTTCCAGTGGCATACTACCAGGGCAGGCTCAGGAGAACCCAGGCTATCCATATTCTGATAGTTCTTCTATTCTTGGTAAGTGGCATTAATATTCACATCCATGCAATGAGCTTGATACATCTAGAATAAAGAGGGCTTTAAGAACTGGTTATACAAAACAAGCTAATTCTAGATAAATCTGGTAAGAACTGAAATCTGTTTAAATATTAAATTCTTCAATGATGGCCTTAACTTTGTATTTGACAGGGATCTAAGTACGTGTGAAGCAGTCTAGACATAGGTTCTTTCATGTGAGCATAATCTTCAGAGGGAGAGCCAATGCACGTTCAGATCATTAAGATTCAGAGGGTATCAAAAGTCATTAAATGATGCCAGTTTGCTTCTCCCCATCCATCCGCGTTTTCCCCTACTCTCTCTGTTCCAATTTGCCACTTTCTGTAACTTCCTCCTAACTGGTTATCAGAATATTAGAATGAGGTCAACTCAGATATTTTTAAGCACTTTGTTCTTACTTCTAAAAAGCTAATTCTTTTCTCTGAAAAACAGCAATGTAAAACAATATATTATGGAATATAGTCTCTCTCACTCTACTGTAAAATTTTGTTTTCATTAAGTATACTTAGAAATTGCGCTTTGGTATTTTTTATTACTGATCAGTCTTTATCTCTCTCCTCCCATAGGTGAGAACCCCCACATAGGCATAGACATGATAGACAATGACCAAGGATCAAGTAGTCCCAGTAATGATGAAGCAGCAATGGCTGTCATCATGAGCCTCTTGGAAGCAGACGCTGGACTAGGTGGTCCTGTTGATTTCAGCGACTTGCCATGGCCGCTGTAAACACTACATGTTGCTTTGGCAACAGCTACAGTATCAAAGTGCATTACTGGTGGAGTTTTACAGTCTGTGAAGCTTACTGGATAGGGAGAGAACAGCTTTTATGTACTGACTTCATAAAAGCCATCTCAGAGCCATTGATACAAGTCAATCTTACTATGTGTAACTTCAGACAAAGTGGAACTAAGCCTGCTCCAGTGTTTCCTCATCATTGATTTTGGGCTAGCTGTGGATAGCTTGCATTACTTGTATATTTTGGATTCTGTTTGTGTTGAATTTTTTAATCATTGTGCACAGAAGCATCATTGGTAGCTTTTATATGCAAAATGGTCATTTCAGATGTATGGTGTTTTTACACTACAAAGAAGTCCCTCGTGGATATTTCTTATACTAATTGTATCATAAAGCTGTTTATTCTTCCTTGTAAGAATCCTTTACTATAAATATGGGTTAAAGTATAATGTATTAGACAGTTAAATATTTTTAATAAATGTTTCCCTTGTTCTATAAATACTGTACCCATTTCGATTAAAAAAGAAAAAAGAAAGAAAAAGAATTCTTACAATGTGCAGGACTGAATCAGCAATTCCAACAATGATCCATGCCAGTAGCATCTGTAATGATTTTTTTCTTTGCTTTGCTTTGCTTTGCTTTTTGCAGTATTGGGACTGAACTCAGGGCCTTGTGCTTGCTATGCAAGCACTCTACCACTTGAGCCACACCCTAGCCCTGCAATGCCTTTTTGATCTTCATAACAGTTCTCAAACTTACAGTTTCCCCATGCTACTAGCTTAGATGTATTACAAAATATAATTAATTTCCAAATTGTTGCCATTTCAGTTTACGTGAGGACAAACATGCGACTGCTTACACACCAGTTTCGAATCCTCTGAATTTATAAATTCAAGCTTGCAAACTGGCTTTGCCACTACTACCTTCTCATAATTTGAACATTATGTGACCTCTGACCCAAAGCACCTAAATATTTCTGATTCTTTCTTGAATTAGACCACAGAATATTTAAAATAATATTTGTATGAATAATTTGCTAAGCAGAGCAGCACAGTATAATGGAAAAAGCATTGAACTAATATAAGAAACTGACTCTAAAACAGGATTACTAGATGCCCTGGCAAAGTCATTTCACCTTTTCTATCAGGTTGGACTAGAAAATAATACTCTCTCTTTTCTGCTCCAGTATTGCTTGGGTTTATAGTATATTTTATAATCAGTAGGAAATTTAAGTGCCTCATCACAAATATTCAAAACTAGAGTTCCTTGAGCTATTTGAGCTCTAGCTATACCTATGCCAACAAGACAAAGAATCTACTAATTATTAGACTAAACATCTAATCAAGGCAGTTATAAAGTTGGTCAGGAACATGAAAACAATGGAATTTTATTTTGATGAAAAACTTGAGTTTACAATCATTTATTAAATGAAGAGCAAACACTTCATCTTCCTATCCCATAACTCTTAAGAAAAAAAAGCATTAGTAAATAAATATCTGTGAACAGATTAAGGGTAAGGCAGACTGGATAATAAACCACCTCTGATGTTCACACTCCCTGCATGTGACTCACCTGAACTGATAAGATATGAGCAGCAAATCTCATCCTAATCATTCAAATAAGCCCAAGATAAATACTCACTTTTTTGCTCATCATGGGCAAACTATACACATTTTACTGAAGGAATACTTTGATAGAAGCACTTAAGTTATACTGTGCATCACAACTATAAAATGGCTTGAACAGTTCCATTTAACCACCATTTATAAAGTGCAACTATATAATATTCTGCATTTTATCTGGGGTGTGATGAATATCAACCTACACCATTAAGTACCCCAGCTGCCAATTTCCACCACTTCTGAAAATACCTAGATGTGTGAAAAAGGACTGTCCCCCATACAAAGAACCAATTTCACAAACCTACTGGTAAACAAATACATTTATATAACTAGAACCTCAGGATGCTAATGTCCTCATTTAAAAAAAACCATTCAGCTACCTTTGGTCTTTAAAAAAGCCTACACTGCAATATCCTAAACATTATGTGCATCTCACAATGAAGAAGAGTGGCCTTGCAGTGCAGAATGAGTAGAATACAATGTCACTGTGAAGAGTAGCATGCTATGGTTTCAAGGAACATCAGCATCACAGCATTGGATTCTGTGCATCAGGATCGAGGTCATTGTTGCCAGAAGGGGGGTGGATGGGGAGGATGTCCAGCTCATCCACTTGTGGAGTGGGGTGCATGACTACCAGCTGGTCCTGGGGAATGTCTGCGGCAGCCGCTGCCAGGTTGGTAATAGATTTACTCTTCACACACTGAAAGTCTACATGCCGACTCTTTCCTTCTTCCTTCTCCCAGGACATTCGAATAAAGGGTCTTTGGACATAGTTGTAAATGACTTCTGGCCGGCCCCCAGGCCTTTTCTTTACTTTTTCTTTGTAGGTAGGATAACCTGGAAGAAAGGTTTTAAAAACTGAGGATACACACAGACACACACACGCACGCACGCGCACGCACACATGCACACACACACACACACATTTCTTAACCATTTTAGGCTTTGTGGGGTTTTCTGGTGCAGGCCTGAACAAATGAAAATTAAAACCAAGAAGGGAAACCACCTAGCCACCAGTTCAACTGCCAGAAACTAAAATGCTGATGTAATTCACAAAACCTTTCACCGTCCTTTCTGTTACTCAATAAATCAACTACCAAAAAACATTCTTAAAGTGGAAGTATGTGGGGGTGGGTCCCCAATACAATAGTATATAATAAGGAACAGGTCTTAGGCTCTAGTTGTGTATCCTCAATATTCCTGAACCATTCTCCTCACAGAATGAACTGTGATAAAGGCCTATAATTTACTGCTGCATTAGCCTTCTGGTTTTCTTTAGCCTAAATCTCATGTTTATATTGCTTGGGGATTTTTCCTTCCTTTTTTATTTAATGACAAAGAACTATGCAGCTGTCCAGCTGGTTCTTAGATAATTCTACAGCTAGGCCAGAAAGGTAAGATTTTAATATTCTACATCAGTTTAACATGACTATCCCCAAAACCAAGCAGTTAATTTAGATTTTCATCTCCAAGACAGCTTTTACCTAACTAATTATACTTTCTCCTCTTGGATCACAGTCACTGAAAAAAGTAACAACTAATAAAGACAAGCCTTGTTTTGGAAAATTTTCAGTTGTATTTACTAGTAAGGCAATTTCTCCAAAGACATACTGTCCTTCAAAACTATTACAAGTCCCTTCCCTCCTTTCTATTAGTAAGAATTGCTAGTTTGGACCAGAGATTAGCAAACATTTTCTGTAAAGAGCCACAATAAATATTTCAGGCTTGTGGGCCATATGGTTTCTACTGAAACTGCCCAACACTGCCACTGTGAAGTGCAAACAGCCACAAAGAATATGTAAATGTTTCCAATAAAACTTTATTTATAAAAAATTGGCAATGGGCTAGATTTGACCCATGGGCTAAAATTAGACCATAGTATAATAAAAAAAATAGATGATTTTATGATTTGCTCATTTGATGATTATCTTACAAGGAAATGTATGTAGGCATCATTGGTAGCTAGTATATTTAGCTACGAGTGGAGTGTATGTATGTGATGGGAGTAAGGAAAGCACGCAGAGTGATTTGGGGAATGGCTGGCAAGGCTAAGAACCTAAAAGGCTGCAGAATGTCTTCTTTGTTTTGCACTTCCATCACCATCTGAGCAGCAGCACCAGGAATGGAAAGGTCTGTACTCCCTTATCCTGATTCCTTCTGCACTATTAGAAAGTCTTTACAATTCCTAACTAATTATATTCCAATCTGTCCTTCACAAAGAATCACCACTATATTTATATGGAATGATATTGCATCCTCGTTTAAACACCACCAATGGTTTCCCTCATGCTTCAAGAAGAAGGTCCCTGCTCCTCAGCATAGTATGCAAGAGTGTCTTACAACCCAGTCCCAACCTACTGCATCTTCCACTATCATCTTATATTCCCTCTAATCCCAGAGCTCTCAAATACACTGGCCACATCAAAGTTTTCATTTTCCCAAATGTGCTGGTTCTTTTACACACATTGTTCTGTCTCTCATTCCCTTTTAGCACCCCCTTGCCCCTGCAGTTTCAATCTCTTTTCTCCCCTGGCAAAAAACATTAAGGCTCTCCACAGAGTTAATCATTTGCTTCTTGCTTGGTAGCACTCCTATTACAGTAATACTTGCAGCACTAAACTGTAATTACCTTTTTGTAAGCATTTTTCATCAAAACAGTAGGTCTTACATAGCAAAGCTAGCATCTTTATCTCTGTATCCCCAGTGGCTAGCATAATGCCTGACATACTGTAGGCACTAAACAAATATTTGAGCAAAGAACAATAAACTACTAGGATAAAACATAAGTAATAACTCCTTCCTGGATATCCATCTTGCTGAGAGTATTTTTACCTTTAAAAATAAAGCCTGTTCCTAGCATCCAGATTTACCAGTGACTCACTCAACAAGTAGTAGTTTAGCAGCTACTGCACTGAAGAACTGTAATACCGGGGAGCTGCCTTGAAGGTAGGTGTTTATGATCTACTAGGGGTGGTAAAATTTCTTCATAAAGCCAAAGAACATCTCAAACAGTGTTATGTATGCCCACTAGAAAAAGAGTGTTAAGGTAATGGTGACAGTGATTTCAGAAGAGAAATGACATCCTAGTGGCCTTCTTTGTGCTGAATCTTAATGTATGAAGCATGACTAGGATGGGCAGAAAGGGGAAAGCAATGTAGGCGGAAACAGTCATTCTAAGGATGAGAATGGGGTAAGGTAAGCTACAGAGGTAGGATCTTATGAGTTTAGTAGATCCTGAGAGCACAGAGCCTGTACTGGAAAACAGTGCTAGTAATACTAAGATGAAAGACCTGGATCAGATAGGGGAGATCCTTAAATAAATTTTATATATTCACTTTCTTTTTCTTTGTAGTGCTGCGGACCAAACTCAGGCCTCATGATGTACATAGTAGGAAAGTGCTCTACCACTAAGCTACAGAATTATACTCTCTATTAAACAAAAAGAAGCTCATTTCAAGTTAGGATACTAAAATCTTACAGAAAACAAAAATTTTGTGCACAGGTCTAGAAAGATAGAATTGGAAAATCAGTGGTTGTGTATATAGCTGAGTTTTCAGTGAGAAGAGCCAATCTTATTGTCTTGCTATTCCTTCTCAGGATGAATAATTCGCAATTTTATCTAATTAAAGACTTCATTACTCAGTCTTGAATTTCTTGTATTCTATGGCAACTGTAATTCAGCAATATTACTTCAGGGGTCTTTTTACCCCCCTTAAACTTCAGAGTCTGTTAAAATCTCAGTTAATTACTATAGCTGAAAGAAGCTTTCCACAGAATTCAGGCAAGTTTCCTAATGATGAAAGTAAGGCCATACTTAATATGGTCTGCTAGGTTAAGCAGCAAGTCCCTATCCTACCCTGCCATTAGAAAACACTATGATGATGATAGATGTTCTATTAAGGAACAGGTCAAACAATAATAACAACAACAAAACTGAAGAAGTGCCTTTCAGCAGAATTATAGAGTAGAGAGTGATTTAGGAAGAATTACTGGTGCTTCCCACCCCTACTCCAGATACTTTTTAGGGTTTTTTGTTGTTGTTATCATTTGTTTATTGAGACAGGGTAATACTTATGCAGTCCTGATCCTCCTGCCTCAGTCTCCTGAGTGCTGGGTTTACAGGTGTGCATCTCTGAGACTAGCCTAGCCACTTTTTTGTTTAACAACACTTACCAATCCTAAAATTCTGCATATAGTTAAGTGGAATAGCCTCAGATAGTCCTGACTATAGTAACATCTATACATTAATATAAATATGGTATCACAGAACTAAGAGTATCTTTAAAATACCCTTCCAGTCTTACATTCCACCATCTCTCCTCACATACCTAAGTGCTCTCCAAATCTCCCCGTGTCTCTTATATACCAACTCAATCTAGTTTAATACTCTAAAATCAGACTTCTTTAGAGGGACTTGGAATTTGGAAGGCAAAAGTAGAAATGAAGACAGGGTTAATAAGATTGCTAATTTGGAAATATGTATTGTTTTTCCTTTGGTCCCAGAAATATCTCAACACTTCTATTAGGATTGAAGCTATTCTTATTTTTCCAAGAGGAAAAACAAATTACAGACTTGATGGGAAAAAAATATGGCTGGTGGTCTACACATTAGTTGGGAAAAGAAAAGAATGCTTCAGAATCTAGAAGCAGTTAATGAAGAAAGTACAGAAAAGCCTAATTAATTACTGTTCAGCCGAAGTCAAGACCAATTTCTCCAAGCTCACAGTGCAAAGGCAAATAATGTCGCACACTGACTTTTATTTTTTAAATTCAAAACCAGAGATTCTGAAATCACAGAGAACTGGATTCAAATCTCAACTCTGCTATATATTTCCTATGAAAGTTCCTATGAAACTTTAACAATGTATTTAACCTCTTGAGTTTAAGTTTCTTCCTCTTAAAAACAGATAAGGTTGGGTAGCCAAATAGCCTCATTTGATAGCCTCATTCCTTCACACACACACACACACACACACACACACACACACACAGCCAGTAAAAGGGATGACAGAATTAGAAAATGATCACTTTGTGATCCCTAATGAAATACTGATCCAGGCAAGAATAACCAACTAGTATTTTATAACCTTTCCTTAAGGTGTCAAAGTAACAACAAAATAAGAGATAACTTAATTACTAAGGAAGAATTAAATTTAGCCTTCAAATTTACATCACAATTTATAGGAATTATAAAAGAGGAATAAAGTAAAGACACAGCAAAAAAGTTAACAGAGCAAATCCAGAAGCAGGACAAACTGGCCCAGACTCTTCATTAGGGAAGTGTTACAAATAAGGAACTATGCAAGATTGAGAGATGTGATATAATAGGCAGTCAGTTACACAGGGTAATCCTGGACTGGATCCTGGTTTGAACAAACCAGTTATAAAAGACATTTTGGGGAGAGGGGCACTGGAAAATTTTAATGTTGGTTGATACTAAGAAATTATTCATCATTTTGTTGGGCAAGACAAAATATTTTGGGAAAACTGTTAAAATTCTAGAAGTGGAATATCATGATATATAAGGTACTATTAAAATGACTTAAATGGTGTTAATAAGTAAGTAGTACTTGTCACTAAGTCCTTATGGTTATATCCACTTAAGAGTTTAGCTCTCAATGCTTATAGCACGGCTATTATTCCTTTGTAATACAGAAAGAAGTCCTGTCTTTTACTAATTAACTTACATGTGGCTTTTATATAAATCATTTATTCACGAGAACCCCTTATATGCTAAGCACCAGGCCACAAGTTAGGCATTTAATATACAACTTGACTTCTCTCATGGAGGTCCTGACCCATGACTAAACAGTACTATATAGTATGTTGTTCTAAAGAGCAATTTCTTAGATGTTCCAAGAAGATTTTAGAAGATTTAAAGGGTGGATAATAGCAGTTATGTAGGGAAAGCGGAAGAGGTAATTTCTAGAAAATCTCATTTGATCATCATAATCATTCTCTAAGATATACCTATTATACAGATACAGAAACAAATGCTTAGAAAGGTTGAGAGTCTTACCTTGAGACACCTGGCTAGTACACTCCTTATCAAAACCTAACCTACAAGACTTTGTATTTTCTGACCCCACATTACTTCTACAAACATTCCTGTCTCTTCAAATCTCCTCCTCAGTTAATATTCTAACTACATGTGTGTTTTTTGTACATCACATTAAGCTCATTCCTACCTCAACACTTTTGCATTTATTTTCTCTGCCTAAAACCATCACTGTCACCAGGGCTCAGATTAAATGTCTCCTCAGAAAGGCCTTCCTTGTCCTCCCAAGCTAAAGTAGCTCCAGTTGCCTTTTCCCTAACTCTGAGACCAAGCAGCTAAGTGACAGATGAAGGCAATCACTGGTGAAACACATCAGAATTCCATGCTTTTTCAGCCTAAAGTCTCCCCCCTTTTCCACAAAAATTCTGTTTCTAGTCATTCTTTCTGTATGTCTCAGCAGCACATTACTGTGGTTTCCAGCAGCTCATGCAGGGCCTTGATCAACACTATTACTTTCATTGTCACCATCACACAGACTAAGAATGTACTATGTACTCATTACTGTTTTAAGTGCTTTTCATCTGTTAGCTCAGTCCATTCTCACAACAACCTTATAAAGCACTTTTTAATGCTTCCATTTTAGATGAAACTGAATGTAAGTGCCTTGGCCAAGGTCATATACAGTGATTAATTCACAGGATTTGAACATAAGTAATCTGGCTCCACAGCTTTTACTCTTTACGTACAATGTCCTGCTATGCCGAGAAGGGTTATTTATTCTTAACAAGGGTATTTCATTTTTAAATTTTACTTTTGAATTATCATACATTAATAATACTAGGGAATTTCATTGTGATAATTCCATACATGTGTACAGTGTATAACAAGGGTATTTTTAAATAAAAGCAGCATGTCACAAGGCATATTGATGAGGTTCACTTAAATCATAAAGTAAAAAGCTATCTACAGATGTATACATCTAAGTAAGATGGAAGAAGTTTTTAATTTGTATTTACCTTGAAAATTAACTATTATTGCTCCTTAAGACATCGTAAGATAACAGTACTGTTTCTATATGAATTTTCAAAAAATGGTTTTTAAATCTACTGGACTTCAAAGATCACTACATAGGCAAAAAACTCTGTCAAATTTTATGGAACTGTATGCACACACACCAAATGGATTTTGCTGAAAGTGAGTTAGAGCAAGCACACACACCAAGTGGATTTTGCTAAAAGGGAGTTAGAGCAAGATATGGCAGAAAAGACAAAATCCTATCACTGTATCACTAGGTACTCTTATGGAATAAGTAATAATTTGTAATGGTCTCCATCTTTTTAAAAGAAGTGAGTTTTCTGTGTATCTCATAATCATTTATTTAATAAATAAGAATTTTTCTTAAACTATTAAAACCATATTCTAAATGGAATCCAATTTCTTAACCTTATTTTTTTTCAAAAAAAAGAAAATGGAAATGTCTTACCTTCTATTCCCAATCTAATCTTCTTAAGACCTCTCTCCTTCAAAACTGACTTGGCTACATCTCTGTTTTCAATGTACTTGAAAAATCTATATAATTTTGTACTATAAATAACTGAAAACAAAAAGATAAAAATATTTCATATTAAAATCAAAGTACTTAGAGATAAACTTAAATTTACCTTGATCACTAAAGGGGCCTGACAGCCCTAAAAGCCCAAATGATGGATGCACTAATGCCAAAGGAAGACTAGCCAACATGACAGGACAAATTCAGTACAGTTAATGTAGAAGCCAATGTCTACCTAAGTGGAAACAAGAAAAGCTTTGATAACCAATCAGATAACCCAATCCATAGAAGAATTTCTTCTGAAAGATACATATTCACACTTACTGGAATGGGATGTGCCCCAAGTTTCAAATAAGAGAACAAAAAGAAGACATCAATAACATGATTATCAAGTAGGCAAAGTAAAGGACTTTGCGCTAAGATGTTTACCAGGCCTAGTCTGGAGTGGGGGAAAACTTTGTCAAAGAGGATGAAAGATAGCATTTTACATTTCATGGATTGAGCAACTATTAATAATTCCCCCAAAGGCAAAGACCCTCCCCACAAACTGTTTTCCATTCAGGCGAATAGCCCCATTTAATACTGATGTTAAAAATGGCAGATTCAAGCATGTTCTGCCTAGGTTAGTCTGTTTAGAGCAAACTGGCTTTGCAAAGGGCAGACATTCCACTGACAACATGTTGAGTCTTCCAAATGTGCTGGGAACTTCAGAAAGTTAGACTGGACCTTCCTCGCCTTCTCTCTTTCAGGTGGAGTTATCGCCCTTAAAAGGTGAACTGCAAAGGTTTTTTCAAAAAAGAAAAACACACTCACAAACCAAACATGCTGGTTTAAGAGTCAATAAAGGAAAAGGCGTATACAAATTCTACTCTTGGGATAAATCTGTGATTATTACTAAATCCTTATGGTTACTGGTATTTTAAGATACAGATTTTTTTGACACTTAAGAAAGGATAAAGTCACACTGAGGAAATCAGGCGGAATAGGCTTTCTCTATTTCCTTGAATGTATCTTCTTTAGGTTGGAACATCTTGGCACAAAATGAAACATATTTGACAAATTAAGTAAAAAAATGGTTTGCGTCCTCTTAACCCTCAAAGCTTGTAATAAAAAAGAAACAAGAAAACTAAAATGGAAAAAGAAAAGTCAGGTCTGTTATAATTCCTTTATCACTATCATGTCATTTCTGTGTTCTATGCTTGGCTCTAACAGAAAATAAGTTAGCAAGTTCCCTTTGATTTTTGGTAACCTTTATTTTCTCTCCATTTGCTCAATTTTTTATTCCACCTATTAGAGAAAATCATGTCAGGAAAAAGCCTAGGACTGAGGAAACAGCAACAGAAATGCCAATTACGACTATTCACAAACTCCACAACAGTCATTTAAATTCATCATATAAAAGAAAATCTCAGTATCAACTCTGAAAAGTGCTTCCATAATTTGTATTAAGGTAATCTTTTGAAAATCTCTTTAAGAAGTCAACAAGAATACAAGCTTTTAAAATTTGCTTTTAAAAAAGGGTGTGTAAAATGGAAAAACCAGAGATTAAAGTTTTAGTACTTTCTATATTCCTGTACTTTAAACTCTAATCCTTAGCAGGTCAACAGACTAGAGTACAGAATAAGAAATTGGGCTATTTTACTAAATTTCCTACACCATTTTTTCAGCTTTTCTCCATCTATGAAACTGCTAAAAAAAAAATGCTAATATTGGGCTCATCATGAAAAACAATGTAAGATAGTTTTTATGTAATAAACAAACAAAAAAAAGTCAAACCAGTCTAACCAGAAAAGTTTGTGAGTGGAAAAAGAAAAGAAATCAAAGTTGCTCAACATACACTGCTTTGTTCAGAAACATCTGAAGAACTATAGTTTCACCAAGATTTCAGAAGGACCACTGGATCTTCCAGAAACCTATATGATATTAAAACAAAAAAAATCTCGGAACTTAAAAATTACCCTGTGACAGTCAGTCAGCAAAGAGCAAATCACTTCTGTATATGACAGGAGTGGGCACACTTTTTCTGTACAAGGCCAGATAGTAAATACTTTGGGCTTTGCGAGCCATGCAATCTCTGTTGCAGCTACTCAACTCTGCCATGATAGCATGAAAGCAGCCACAGGCAATACACAAAACTTTATTTATAAAAACAGGCAATGAATTTGACTCACAGACTAGTTTACTGATCCCTGGTATATGGTAAGGGTTTGATGTCTATTACAATTAGTTACAAAACCTGTCCTTTGACTAATATTATAAAAGATAATCATGATGGTTCATGCCACAATACTTACTTTGTGAATATTCTTCTCCCATCTGTGGTGGATACTCCTCATCCCAATCAACTACATCATCGTCAGTAAGCACCACAATATGACATTCTCGTTCCCCACTCTGGGCACTAGCTACCATGAGAGGGAGGATCATTTCCTCCAGATAAAATTCAAATTGTCTACGAGCACCATCATTTGATAACTCATGCATTAGGGCACCTGAAATGAAACCCACAAAAGTATCTTGATTTGTGGATGTCTGTTAGGTTAATGAAAAGCAGAAACAAAATACAAATAAAATAGTAGGTCAGCATCTACTCTGGGATCCTATAGGCAATATATTAAGGCTATTCTTTAGTCAGTGAAACTTCCTTAAAAAAAAAGTTCTTACAGAAAGTCAGAGCAAAGGTACAGAAAGCAGAGTAACCAAATTCAATGGATGAAGAATCAGGGACCAAGTGAAGGAACCATAAGCAAAAGACCAAAAAGGATGCCTAAGAGTCAAGAGGAAGAAAGAATCTAGAAAAAATGGATAACTAAACAGTGAAACTGAAATTCTTGAATTAACAAGTTTAACATTGTTCAAAATCTTCTAGCCAGTGAAAACACAGTAAAACTCTACCATAAAGACATAAAAGTGTAAATAAATATAAACACATTGCATTTGGAGCAAGACTTAATATAGTACATGTTAATTCTTCCAAAAAATTAAGAACTAATTTTAGAATTCTTCTAAAAAATTAATTCAAAGAATTCTAATGAAAAGCTCCTATTTTTTCAATGACCATTTGTTTGATGAATATCTTTAGACATGACTCAGGTTTGAGTATAAGCGAGGACTACTATATAGAAGGAAAAATTAATGCTACTAGAGGGAACAAATATAACAGGGTCCTAAAAATGTGAGAGTCTTAATAATTAACTAATATAACAAGTTTATGAAGTTCTTACTATGTGCCAGGCCCTATGGACACAAAGTCAAAAAGATAGACTCCATCCTCAAGTCCAAACTACTTTAATGCCACAAACCAAAAAAAGAGTGAGATTGAAAATGAGAACTGGAAACAGGGAGAAAGGAAGACAGGAGGAGAAAACAAATGAGCAAACTCCATCTCTAACTTTCAGTGATTCAAGTTATGCTCTGCCTCTGATCTCCCTTTCCGAACAGGCTTAGATAGGGTTAGGAATGTAGCTTAGTAGCAGACAACGAGCTTTGTATGCACAAGGCCCTTGGTTTGATCTCCAGTACTACAACAATCAAACAAACAGCAACAACAACAAAAAACAAAGTTCTTTTTCAAGTTCCATCATCTTCTGCATAGATGATGCCTTTCTTCTTGGGCTTACTGAATCAGTATCTCATTCAGACCTTAAGTTCACTTTCCATCTTGCTTTCACCTAAGGACACTATTTCTCATTTCTTTTAGTCCTAGGCCTTCAATCCTGAGTTCAGTTCTCAAAATTTCTGGATTAAAATGGGAAGAGAATGTGGACACTATTCCTAATTGGGAGCTATGAATTACCATGGACCTCCTCCATTACACATACTGAACGTTCTAGGACAGAAGACTGAGAAGTCATTTCCTGTATACCAACCTTCTTGCCTCTGAACATGCCATTCCATCTATCTGGAACATACTTCCTCTGCCCTTCTCCTCTAGAAAGCATCTCAAAAACCCACATCCAAGTTCAGTATAGCCCTTATGTGCTCCTTTAGCACCTTATTTTTCCTCTAACATGATACCATTTACTTGTGTGTCTTCTTCACTATATTGCAAGCAGAGACTGTCTTTTTTGTTGCCTTTTATATATCTAACACCTGGTGAGAAGCAAGTACTCAATAAAAATGCAAAGCAAATGACTGATCACTATGGAACCATGAAGCAAGTTACTAAAGGGTGTTTAGCAATATAAACTTATTCACAATATGTTTCCGTGTGGAAATATTATAAATATTATAAAATAGTAAATACAATATGATCTTTTAAATTTTTTCTTTTCTTTTTTAGGCAAACCCTTTTACATATTTTATGTTAGACACTATTCATTTAATCTTCCCAGCAACTCTATGACGTAAGTAATACTACTCTTTCCATTTAAAGATGAGAAAACTAAGAAACAAAGTTCTAAGTAACTTGCCTAAGAAACCCAGGTTTTCCTTCCTTCTTTCCTTTTTTCCTTCCTTCCTTCCTTCCTCCCTCCCTCTCTCTCTTCCTTCCCTCCCCTTTCTCCCTTCTCTTCCCTCCCCTCCCTTTCTTTCTTTCTTTCTTTCTTTTGTTGGTACTGGGGGTTGAATTCAGGGCCTACACCTTGAGTCATCCAGCCCTTTTTTGATAGGGTTTTTTAAGATAGGGTTTCTTAAGATAGGGTTTCATGAACAGTTTGCCCGGGCTGGCTTCAAACTGCAATCCTGATCTCTGCCTCCCAAGTAGCTAGGATTATAGGCATGAGCCACCAGCTACCGGCCTGAAACCCAGATCATTGTGGTGGATGAACATTTACTATAAATTCTTCTTACATTTTTACAAGACCACTTCTAACCTCTTCTAATTCTATATAGTTTTTTTTCTTAATAAGGACTTTGAGAATCTCTAAATTTTTAGTAATGTATTAAAGTACTCTAAAAATAATTACAAATATAACTTAAAAGCTAAAAGTTGAGGAAAATCATATTACATATATTTTACAAAAAATTCATGTCTTTAATTCCAACAAATAAAAGATACTTAATAGTGATGATAAAATATGTCCAAAGGATAACAGAACTAAAATGCCTAGCATTTATAAGAAATTCTGTTTTTTAATATGACAGTAACCAAACTTCAATATCTAATTATATGAAGTTTAATTAAAATGTCTGATGAATAAAAATTCACAAAACTTAATATCAAGAATTTATAATTCTCATGGTTTTAACTAAAACCATTACTGAGATGTGAAGAAACAGCAACTTTGTTAAAATTTATAGTTGTATGCTCCCTTTGTCCAACTATTTGCCTTTGGTTAAACTTAAGTATCATGGACAGAAATGAATTCAGAGGTACACCTACTTCTTTGTCCTACCTATCAATATTTTTGTAGGCTTTAAGAGCTTGTTTGGGAAAAATGGCATGGTACATTTAGGAGCAGACTTAATAACTAAGAACTAAGAACTAAGTTCGTAACAACATGAAAAAGGTTTTAAGGTATCTAAAACTTAAAAATTTTCTTTGAGCAGGTACAATGCCACTCTGAAACCTAAGGTAAAGCTTAGGAAAAGAAGTAAGGATAACCGTATGTATAAGGCTAGCATAAGGCTATAAAACCTATGTATGAAACTTTTTAAATGGCTCCACACTATATATGGGATAAGAAGAACATTAATTTAGTATTAAAGACCTTCCTTTATCTGGCCCACCTATCTACTTCCCATGTCCTCTATACCTGACATAGTCTTTGCTCTAAGTTACTTCCTGAGTATACCATATTTCAGCTTTACTCCAAAAACCTGACTCTTGTAACAAACAGTCTTCCAACTCTTTAAAAATCATTCCTATTCATTCATTACTACCTGTCTCCATTGAACTCTTCCCCAATCCCTCTGACCTACACGAATTCTTCCTCTGAACTTCTCCAACCACTTAATATTCAAGTCAATATTTGAAACTTCTCTTAAACTATTTTGGTGGGCATAATCACATCTTTTCTCAGGTTGGCAAAGGTGAATATCAATCAAGAAGGAAGTTAAGAAGGTGACTATGGCTGAAGTACTCTCTATACAAGAATGAATATAGTGGCTAGAGTGACTCAAATGGTGGAACGCCTGCCACCCCAGTACAACCCCTCCCCCCCAAAAAAAGAAGAAGAATGAACACAGAATTCTTAAACCAGATGAAATCATCATAAGAAAGGGACTAAGGAAGAAAGAAGAAAAATAGAGGAGCTGAACCAAATTGGGCTATGATACATATATACACGGAGTGCCACAAGGAAATTCCCTGTGTAGCTATCTTAAACAAATAAAAATGTCTTTTTTTTCCCTCATACAAAATCAGAGACCAGGAGAGTGGAACAGGTCCTGCCTAGGTGGAACTGGAACTGGTGGGAGGGGGAAGAGGGAGGAAATGGCGAAGGAGGGTAAATACGGTGCAAATATTGTGTGCACAAGTACGTAAGTGGAAAACTATTGAAACTATTCCAGGAATGGGGAGAGGGGAGATAAAGGAGAATGGTGGATGGGGTGAATTCAAGTATGATATATTTGACACATTATAAGAACTTTTGTAAATGCTATAATGTACCCCCACCCAGCACAAAAATGAAAAAAAAACCTCAAAAAAAAAATTAGGATTCCAAAGTTCTAGACCCAGTTCTGAGTCTATGTTTAAAGTTCTTAATGAAGCCACTTCAATGCTATATAAAACACAAGAGCAAGGAATTCAAACTATACTCTCTAGTGACAAGTACTGCTTAGGATAAATATTTACATCTTCCATAGTGCTCAGAACATTATCTACCAATAAAAATATTATATATTTTTAGATGTAATCTGAGGAATGAAGCCAAATCAAATTTGACCAAACCCAAGGCTCCTAAGCTAGGAGATACTGATAATAAATGATACAGGAAATAGCCAAGGGAATAATCTAGGAGAGAATATATATATATATAATACATATATATTTATGTATATATATATTTATATATACATATAAAAGTTGAAAAAAATTTTTGGAAAATTATACAAAGAGATTATCTAGAACACTACAGATTCCCATAAATAATCTTCACAATACCAAAATGCTTTACAATTCAGTTAAACAAATATTTGAAATCTAAATAAATAGTACACTTTCAGACTCTGCATTCCAATCTATAGTAACTACAAACTCACACAAAGCATCATACTTACTGAGATCTCTACATTTAATAGTACTATATTCAAAAGAAATACAAAGATAATCGCATGCTTCTCTCAACTCAGGAATAGATATGCCATCAGGACAACGGATTATTCCTGTTTTATAGTAATCCTGGAATAAAAAAAGAAGTACATGAAATACCTGGAGCACAAGGTAGCCAAAACTTATTGTTACAGTGGGTTGGTAGCATTTTCAAAAAATAGTAGAGCTCTAACATTTCTGAATTATGGAATTTTAAAATGAGGTGGAATCTCAGTTCACCTAACAACTTTTTCATTTTACCTATAAGGATAATTCAAGCCTGGAGAGATTCAGTTACAAGGATGGTCTCTGTAATATTTATTCAAATATTCCTCAAACCAAAAGGTTAAAACTTCAAAAAAAAAAGTTTAAAACAAAGATGCTAACAAGTACAAAAAACAACAGAGATCATTTTTAAACATTCCTAAGTTTCCATATTGTTGGTTTGGAGCAATAAATTATTATGTTTCAATAAGCCACATTCATTCTCAGGTAACAAAAATGCTTGACTTATTTTAAGAAAATTATGAAGGATGGAATAATATAACTCCAGGAATGTTAGTACTAAATACTTGAAAGATCTGCTTATGCAGACCTAAGAAATGAATCTTTCTATCCCATCTTCCCAAGATCATAAACTCATTTGCTTATATCACATTATCTTTATGTACTAAAACAAACATGAAGTAAAAGGTATTTAAAACAAAATAATCCTGCAACCTCCAAAGAGATATCCAAATAGAGCTGTTTCCAATCCAAGCACCTACAAAGAAAGGAGTTACAATTAAGTCAATGCAAGTAAGAAACATACTCACCAGGATAGCACGAAACACAGTGGAACCAATTCCTTCTGCCACCTCATATTCTCCCTTTTCATTGGGACGTGTAAAGTTATGTTCTCGGCCAGATCCAAACATCCTATGATAGCATGTAATTAAGAAACACATGAATAGGATGTTATTTCCTAAAAAGGGGAAAATTAGTTTTCATACATACAAAAGTGAAAAGGAATTATAATTAAAGCATTCATCTGAAATTTATTCTGACAAACACTATAAAGGAGCATTAAAATTTTTCACAGGAAGTCACAGCAGGATAGATTCTGCAATAATAAAATTAAATGAAAAAATTTAAAAGCTAAAGAAATTCCCAATTAAATCACTCTAGAGGAAAAGATGATTTCTATTCCAGAAAGGGAGACCATATTCTTCTCTCTTTTCATCACAGAGTTAATGTTAAGTTAATGCTAAGCCACAGCATACACACGGAGATAAACCAATGACATAGGCAAGTCAGGCTGTTTTACATGTCACAAACTATGAATGTAAGAAATCCTACTCAAAATTATTACACTTGTATCCTATAATTAAAAAACAAGCAATCAAATACTAAAATAGGAAAGAATGGAGCAGTGAAGAATGGAAAGTTTAATTAAATAAGTAGAAAGTTATATTTATTTTTATGTAAGAAAAATAAAAATGGATTTATGTTTTTAAAGTCACATTGTTGGCCCTCTAACAGTACTATTTTAAGAAGAGACAATGTGCAAAATATGTTCTTTGCAATGAAAAGTTTAATGCAGTATTCTCAAGAAAAATTTAAAAACATGGTTTAAAAAGTTGAACCTCTAAATTCAATGATACCACTGTTCCCAAAGCAAACATTATGGTTCTGATTATTTTATTCAAGTTTCCTAATTTAAATGGTTTCCACTTTTGTTATAACACAGAACCCATGAAGAACAAAGGTTTCTTATTTTGGTTTCCAAAAGAATGCCAACTGCTTTCCAGTTCCCATGCATTTAATTTTCATCCCCAAAGATATGCTTTAGTCAATTGAAAAGAAGCTTTCACTGATTAAAAAAAGACAGTCTTTCAAAAAACAAAACGTCATGCAATTTTCTCAAATGACTGTACTTTTTATAAAAAGGGAAAGCAATTCTTTTCAGATCAATATGAATACTGAAAAAATCTTAAAAACAGATAAAGCAAAATTTCAAGTCTACCTTTTTATTGTTTTAAATTTTATGTAAAAATAAAGTATTATTAAAATGTCTTCACCTTCCTAATAGCTTCACAATACTAACAAATACATTTTTCTCAGGGATGTAAAGTCTAGTATCAATGTTAACAGAAAATATTTAGCTACTCAAACAGATACAAGTATCACAACACCAGCATTTGTTCTATATTCTGAGGCACTAACAAATTACACACAACATATAGTCATCACATAAGCAAACTAGATAAAACATCTCAAGTTTTTACCTCATGTAAGCTTCTATTATGTTTACACACCCATTCATTTTAACTGCAGGGAAAGATACTGATTTTATAATTAAGAAGTATTTGACCCATATTTTGAACATGTTAAAAAAAATCTACTCTATAGTGTCTATATCATTCTTAGATTATGGTTCCCATAACTATAAACTTTAATTCAGCACAAATCAGAAGATGGCTATTAACTCCTTCCTTCATCTATTAAGTAGGCTTATTAACATCATTCCTTTTTATTTTTTTCCTTCAGATAAAGTATCTACATCAAACTGACAACTTGTGCTGACTTCACAAAAAACTATTTTTTTTTTTACAGAGAGCTGATACCATCTACATCTGATGGTTGAATCTGGAAACTCAAGTTCAGGACATGTATTAGTGCTTAGATCCACCTGGTTAAATTCAATTTATAGCCTCAATCTATAGACATCTTTCAGTATCCTGATATTAATGACTAATATATTTGTTATTCCTGCTGGTACTGCAAAGAACATTAGAAAAAAACCCAGTTCAAGATTTTGCCCTGCTGTAGTACAGTTGCATTCATTTGGACAAGTAGTTTAACCTCCCAAACTCAGTTCTACCATCTGTAAAATAGCAAAACTACATTCCAACAGAATTGCTGTAAAACTTAAAAGGAAAAAAAAAACAATGGCTGTCAAAGTGCCTTATAATTAGTAATATAAAGAACAGTAATACAAACCTGCCCAACATTGTATTTGGCTGTGCAGTAAAAATGGACGGGTCTACAACAAATCTAGTGTTATCCACTATTAGTGTCACTCGCTCTGATGTTCTTATATTTCGAGCTCCTTCTTTCACATTTTCATATACAAATACCATCTCCCCAGATGTCTTACAGCTACCATCTGAACTGGATTGGCTACTGTTTCTGCTGCTGTTCCCAGCACTGCTCATGGAACCATTTGGGGAAGCTTTTTGAGGACGAGGACTGCTTGGACGAGAGGAACTATGATCTTTTTCTCGCTCTGAAACAAAGATGTTACACAAAGTTATGCAAATTTTCTTTGAAAACATTCAAGAACTTATATATATATACATATATATGTGTGTGTGTGTATATATATATATATATATATATACAGTTCTTGAATTTTATATATATATAAATATAAATGTTTGATTTAGAAAAGTTGTTTCAAATGGAAGCATTATTTCTGCTTTATTTTCTATTTCAAAGAACACAATAAATAATTTATTTCCCAGGAGTAAGTATTTCTAGTAAGAATTATTTACTTTTTCAAATGACTTTTAAAGTCTACTAAATAAAGTGGTTTTAGCAACTGATGATATTCTATTTTCTCTTAGTCTCATTTTTGTTGAATAATTACAGCAATGCTACAAATCTTATTAGATTTATCATCTGCAATTTCCATTGCTAAAATCTGGAAATTTTTCTTTAAAAGCTAAATAAAAACTAAGATTTTGTGAGACAATGTATTTACAGGCTAGATTACGAAACTTTAAAGGTGACCTAAAAATGTACCTCCGTCTCATCAGTTTCATCAGCTTTTGCCAAATTCCTTCATGACTCAGTCTACTTAGAACATTCTGTACAGCATTGCTGATTATATAATTAGGTTTGCTACATCTACAGAGCTACTCTGACACCTCCGTTTTATTAGCCTATTTCCACAATACCGATAGTATCTCAAAAGCAAAATTTGCTAAAGTAATAAAATAATATGTTATAGTCTGTTATCCTGCTGGCAAGACACTGAACTCTACATTTAACAAACTGCAAACTCTTATTTATACTTCTGTTAATTTCTAGCTTATAAATGAGTTTCTCTTTAAGGATCTACTTAAGATACTGTTAACTTCTCTGCATAATTAGACCTTAATGCACATGATTTTGATTTATAAGACTGTCAGAAATTACCTCATATAGTTAAATCAAAGTACTTTTTGTGTGCTGGGGACTGAAAGGGACTTGCACATGCTAAGCTGGTGCTCTGTCACCAAGCTGTATGTTCTTTTTTTCTCAGATGCTGGGGCTTTGTACATGCTCTGAATTCACTCTACCACTGAAGCTCTATCCCAGCCCTAGTCAAAGCATTTAATTTGTGTCTTCCATTAGGGAAAATGAAAATTAGTAAGCTCACATTGCTTAGACACATCTGCTTCAGACTGTGCTTTACAGTCATAAAATGTAACCACCTGGGGTAATAAAATTCATTTATAGTAATGAGTAGGAAGGAAAGAAAAGACCTGAACTAGTTACTAAAAAAGTAAAACACTTCACACTTCTCTCCTCTATTTCTATTTTAAATTTGAAACACTGAAAAAAATCAGAATAACTCCATGATTAGTACTCTTTCACTTTATTTGTTAGCATGATTAACCAGAGATTTCTACCAATAATTTACCTTACTACAAACTATTTCATAATAAACCATTGCTATATATCTCCTAAGATTAAAAATTAACTTGAAAATTTTGGAAAAGTCAACATATCAGTTTCAAAGGGTTTTCATGTTCCTTCTTTTATAAGACTGCTGCAAAACTACAAACAAACGAATAGTAGAAAGAAACAAATTTGAAGTATTAGGCACAATTCAATGTCATTGCAAAAAAAGACAAGTGTGTGCTTTTAAGAACTGGTGAGGTCAGCTAATTTTACATACCAACATGGTGCTGTCTTGTTGGAGAAGTAACATTTCTAATACAAGGAGTGAGTTGAGACTCTGTTCTTTCATGAGATGAATCTCGTGATCTGTCACTTGACCTTCGTCTGTCTCTTGATCTTTCATGTCCCCCGCTAGCACCATGTAGACTCATTTTGGTGTGGTCAACTCCTTTAGCAACACGTGAGGGAGTACTGACAAGTTAGAAAAGAAAATTAACCAGAAAGCCAGAGAAATAAGATCACAAGTATTTTTAAGAAAAATATGATTAACATGATTACTAATATTTTAAGTGCAAAAATCAAATGTTACTTTCCAATGCTGAAATCTAATTTACCTCAAATCTGTAGGTTTTATAAATGCTGGAATAAAGTGTACATTAAGATCATATAATTGAACTCAATTTCTATGGATGAGAGAACTAAACTCCAGAAAGGTTAGCTGACTTTTTGTTTATTTTGAGACAGGATCTTAATCTGTAGCCAGGATGGCCTCAAATTCACAATCCTTCACTCAGTTCCCTTCCCCTAAAGTGCTGGGATTATAGGTGTGCACGAGGATAACTGGCAGTTAACTGACTTTTGAATTGGAAATAGTAGTAGTAATAGTAATAGGCCATTCAGATACTTTTACTACTCCAATGTTCTTTTGATTTATTTGAAGGGGAAAAATAATGGAGAGAGTACCAGCTTGTGGAACTCAAAAAACTGAGGATGGAACAAAGTAACTAGTCCCCCTGCCAAATAAAATAAGCCTCCATGTTAACCTCAATCAACTCACTTTGAGAACTCTTATCAAATGCAAAATTTTTTTCTAAAAAACATTTTTGTGGGAAAAGTCACAGAATTTAAAAAATCTTATAAACATCTTATACAGAGTAAACCTGCCGATGAGAAGTGAATAACTCAGAATGTGGGTTAGCTAAAGTAGTCTACCTAACAGAATCCCCTCACAATTATTAACTTATACATGCTGTAGACACAGTACTGTTAAATGCCAATAGAAAGAAAAGTTCTCTGTGTAGCTTATCATTTAAGTGTAGAAATTTAAACAATTCAAAAATGATCCAACTTCCAAATTTAAAACATACATTCTAAATATGTAACTACTAAATAAGTGGCAGATAATAAATGCTTTACTATTTCAAAGGAAGAATATATTACTGTAGATTACAGTTTGTCACTAGTGTACAAAGCCTAGTGTAATACTTTTGCACTAGTGTATAAATGAATAGATTTTAATAATGAGACTACAATGCAGGTAGAAAATTGGTGGTAACAATAATGAAAGCCAGTTGGAAACTGGCAATATGGAAATTTACCATGTTAGCATATATGCTAGTTAATAGTTTTAAAATATTACAGTATATATTAGAAACAGAAATAATTTCATGGCTTTAGAGTATTATAGACTTAGGATCAAACTGGCCTTTAATTCTAAACTTGCTTAACATCTTGTGTGACATGTAATAGTTTAGAAACAGGCTCCCCATCTTTTTACTGCCTAAGGTTAACACTGGGATTTAAAAAAGTATACTAAGTAAACAGGCCAGCAATGTACCAGGCACAATATAACCACCTCTTAAGTGCTAGTTTATTTAGTTACGACAGATGAGGACAGGGAAGTTCAAAATACCAAGTTTGCTCAGTCATACAGTATTTAGCAGAGATGCTATAACACTATAACCTGAGCCTTCTGAGTCTTTCCAGTGCCCCCTCCCTCCATCTTATTATAGTTCTCTCTCTTACCAAAACCATACAGGTTAAAATTGAATATTCTCAATGATTCAGAAATATTTCAGTGACTCAAGTTATCTCTTTTGTTGGTTCATTAGCAATGCTTTTTGTTATTTTAGTAGTCTGTTTCATTATGAAAATCAATCATCACCTTGCTATAACATATATTAAGGACAGAAGACAGAGTTGACCTGTAGTTATCCTGAGAAGTCAGTCCTAGGAAAGTAAAGGTAGCTATCAGCCTGGATCAAGTTACCTGTCCCTCATAAAACTAAAGAGAAAAAAAAAATTTACTTATACCTTCTTTCTCGTAAAAGAAAAGAAAGGACAATTATATTCTTAGAATATAACCTTTTTGTTCAAATAAAACAGATCAAAAGATTCTACTGCATTTATGCTTAAAAAAAACTTAGAGTAGGAACAATGAGTTTGTCTAATTTTATATAGTAGGAAAAAGAACCAGTTGAAACTACATAAGAAAGGGACGAAGATAGAATGAAGAAAAATAGAGAAGATAAATCAATTGGGGTAATAATACATATATACATGGAAATGTCACAAGGAATGAACAAAAAGAAAAAGAAATGAATCTATACTAATAGAACAAGGATCATCTATAGAAAAAAAACTCTTCAAATTATTCTGACTGCTAAGTTTCAATCATTTTCTATAAGAAGACACATTTCCTAAATGTGAGTCTGATAATTTAATGGAGAAAGTATAATCACAACAATGGCCAAGGCAAATGCAGACTAAATGTTCAGTTTGAATAAGGGCCAAGCAGACTAATTAATTGAAAAAGCGTTTCCACCAGACATCTTTGTAGCTACAATATTGCCTTCATTTCTAAACTGCTTAGATTTTAAATGAATGCAAAAGGTGTCACCATCCACTTCTATCTAATTTTTCATACCCTAATAAGATGTACACTGAATTGGGCCTTCAAAATCATATTTTATGGAAGACTAAACTATCCCTTCTTTTATTTAATTAAAGAATTTTACATCAGGAAAGAACTCTACAGGCAAAAACAATATGAGTAAAAGAAAATGAGAACAAAGTTGGGAATGGTAATATACGACTGTAATCCCAACTACTCATGAGGCAAAGGCAACAAGATGTCTGAGGACAGCCTGGGCAAAGTTAGCATGAAACCCTGGGTTCAATTCCCACTTTGGGGGTGGAAAAAAAGAAAGAAAATGAAGGATGAGCAAGTTCAAAGGGGACAGCTCTGCTTTAAGCTGCATTTAAAAAAACTGAGGGCAAGTAAGAAAATGAAGGTAGCTCAGCTCCAACATCTGCTTCCAGCCAAGATAGAATAACGACTACATTTACTCTACTATTCAAAACTCAAAAACAAAAACAAAACCCAGACAATATATGAAATAATCATGGGCAAGATACAGTATGTCAGACAAAGAATAAAAATAAATATTCCTGAAAAATAGAGAGCAAATGAAATAAGACCAGCAATTGTCCCAACTTATCATCTTGAGAATTTCCAGAGTAAACAAAGAAGGGAAGAAGTCCAGGCAGAACCCAGGGGACATGAGTTTAAAATATGGAGTTAAGATGTTGGGATAACAGATGGCCAGAGTTCCCGGGAAAAAGTCCTAGAGAGGGAACAACAGTGCAGAGAGAAAGCCTCTAAATTTACAGAGCCCCTTTGGAGTACTGAGCTGACTACCAGTCAGTACACACATGAAGAAACTAATGGAGGCCAAAGAAAGAAAGAACTTACAAGATCAGAGGAACCATGCCTAGCACTCATACAAGGCCACAAATAGGGCCTGTCCCCATAGGACTGAAAAACATCATAAATCGTAGGGTACTGAGGAAAGAATCAGAAGAGTCTTACCTCTGAAATAGAAAATAATTAGACCTATATTGAGTACTCCTCTAATCACACCTTTCAAATTTTAACATAAGACCAGAAAGGATCAAACTGCTTCCAAATAACTTAACTGAATCCTAAAACAGAAATCAAGAATACTTAGAGGGATAAGAAATATCAAACACCAAAACAAGGTAAAATGCACATATGGCATCCAATCAAAAATTACTTGGCATGCAAAGAAGCTGCAACACATACTATTATGGGGCGGGGGAGGGGGAGAGAAGAGGAGACAAATCAACTGAAATCAAGCCAAAACTGACACTTATGTCAGAATTAGAAAGAAAATAAGTCATTACAACTGTATTTCTCCAAAAATTAGTATAGAAAAAAATAGATGAAGAAGACACAAATTAACCTACCAGAGATAAAAATGACAATATCCGAGATAAAAAACACACTGAATGGAATTAATGGTTGATTATGCTACCAGATGAGGGGGTTCCCTCAGATTCTCACTTTCCCAGCAAACCAAAATTACAGGCCCTTGAGATCCACATGTGAAAAGCATTTCAAGGTGCCTCCCAATAAGGAGTGTGATGAAGTAGAAGTTTTAGGAAGGTTTTATTTTAGTGCAACAGGATAAAGTAGGGAGAAGGTGAGGAGGGGAGAAACATTTCCTGCTCCCAATGCAAATTATAGCATTAAATTCCTACATTAGAAAAGAAGAAAGGTCTAAGAAAAATGACCTGTTTCTACCTTACAAAAAAAAAAAAAGAATATATTGAACCCAAAGAAATTAGAATAAAACAATAAAAATCAGAGTGAAAATCAACATACTTAGAAAACAGAAAAACAACAGACAAAAACAAAAGTTGGTTCTTTAGAAGATCAATAAAACAGATGAACCTCTATCCAGACTACTTGGGGAAAATACTTAGAAGATATAAATGACCAATATCAGAAATTATACAATTAACATCTTACAGAGTCTACAAATGTTAAAAGAATATTATAAACTACTTTTTACCAATAAATTCAGTAACTTGGAAGAACTGGACATACTCAAGCCTACCAAAGTTCACTCAAGAAGCTATAGATAATCTGAATAGCTCCACATGTACTAAACAAAGTGAATTTATAATTCGAAACACCCCTCTCAAGAAAACTCCAGTCCCAGATGGTTTCATTGATGAATACTATCCAGCCTTAAAACAGAGTACCAACCCTAATGTAACTTTCCCAGAAAACTGAAAAGACAGTACTTTCTAACTCATTCTATAAGTCCAGCATTTACCCAGACACTAAAACTAGGCAAAAACACCAAAAGAAAACTAAAAGCCTTAAAAACCACATATACACATTATGAACAAATTTTAATAATTCAAACCCAACAATATATAAAAAGATAGCATCATAATGATGAGGTTTATCTAAAAATGCAAGACTGGTTGAATATTGCATGTTAACAAATTAACAGAGAAAGTAACATGTGCCTCAATATTTGTAAGAAATGCATTTGACAAAATCCAAAATCTATTCCTGATTTAGAGCCAAAAAACAAACCATTAAAAAAAAATCTCAGTAATGTATAAATACAATGGAGCATCATCAACCAGACAAA